AGCGGTTCTAGTCAGATGGGTTAAAGTGGAGAATCTTTTTGTCCTTTTACCTATGTGCCCGTGACGGTGACGCACTTGAGCAGCGATTGGCGCCGATTTGCATAGTCAGGCGTAGTAGAAGTCTATCGGACAGCGATGCCACAGACCACGTCGCCGATTTCAACGATTTTCTCTCGTCACAATCAGGTGAGATGCATCATTCCTTGTGCAATTAATACTTTTTAAACTGTTTCCTGTCATTTAAAGGTACATTTAAATCAATTATGTGCTAGTAGGTTAGATTAAAATAAATAATTTATTAATGATATATTCTTTTCTCAGCTGGAGTATCATAATATTAAAAAATTTATTTATTTATTTAAAATATTTTTAAATATAATATTTCTGGGAGTTTTATTAATTAGGAATAAATTATAATATAATACTTTTATTTTTATGCACTTTAAGTACAATTGAAAATTCAATCGATGTTTGAAATATGCATGTTGACATCTACGAAATCTAAAATTAAAGTAATTGTATCAAATTTCATATGCTATTTTCAAATATGCCTTGGATATAGAGTCTTAGAGTACTAACTATTAATAAAGATATCAATATTTGCCAATACAACGCATACTTGGTTCAGTTTAAATTCCAAGAAAGTATATATCAAAATTTAATGAAAATTTAGTGTACTTCAATGCGACTGTTTATGTACACAATATATATTTAATCGATATATTAATTAAATTTGTTTTTAATATGTATATATATAAAATTATTTTTAATAATATATCTAACAACATATACATCCTTAAATATAAATGTACAAAGTTCAAACTTTTAATTATCCCTTTAACTTCATAAGAAAAATTTTGTCACTTTTATAACATATTGTAAATTGAAAAACAATATATTAATTGTTAATCAGGTCACTTTTCGAATATGTTTTGAATTTGTTACACTTTCATGCAACTATTTAAAAATTTGTGAAAAAATTTGTCTTCAATTAATTTTAATTTTTATATGTACAATTAATTTTCTTTTCTCGTGAAACCCTTATACAATGAAATATTATATATTAATATAAAATATATTGTTCAACGAATAAGAAATGATATTTACTTTAATGTACAATTGATATATAATGCATAATTTAAACTCTGTGTTAAAGAATCAACAATATCAAGTTTCTTTGTTTTATTGGATTTTTCAAACAATTAATATCCAAATAAAATTTTTGTTCAGCCATAAAAATATAAATAGTGACTTATTAGTAGATTAAATAATTTTAATAATATAATTAATTTCGTGATTTTATATTTTCTAATATTGATAACTATTCTAAATCGATACAGTATTAATTTTTTTAATGAAATTATTTATGCTAATAATAATTAGTCTCGTTATAATTAAACTCCATTTATCTGATATATGAGTAACCTATTCCTTCTTCGGTTTATATAATAATGAATAGAATATTCAATCATTAAAATATATTATTCTTTTTAAATTAATTATAAGACACGCGATATTATGATTATTGTATGAAAATGCGGTATTAAATAAACGATAACCAGTAAATGATAATGATAATTAGTAGCCCATGATAATAGAAAATTATCTGTATTTTCTGAGAAAACTTTAAGACTTTTTTTTTTAATATTATAAAATATCTGGATATACAATAAAATTTTGCCTAAAAAAATTATCGTTAACTCTCTCTCTCTCTCTCTCTGTCTCTCTCTCTCTCTCTCTCTCTCTCTCTCACTCTTATATTTGTATTGGTATTATATTAATTTATAAGGTCTCAATATGTTTTAAAATGTGATATTTGTTAAGTTAATCTTGAACTTTCATTAAATTTATATTTAAAATATTAGTGCACTACACCATACGTGACATTCATAACAAAATTAAAAATTGTATTAAATTTAACAAAGGGAAGTATATTATATTTGCTTACGAGCATTCTTCAAAATAAATCACATTCATGGAACACTTTTAAAAAATTGAAAGAAAGATTAAGGTACCCTGAAGATCAAAAAACCCGATTGCGTTTGAAATTCTGTGAACAATTTTAATACTCAGTATGAAGTTGTGTACAATTGATTCTATTCCGATTTTATTAATGTTTTCGAAATTGAATTTTTTAGATCTCGGGATTAAAATTTAATAGAAAAAATTTGGATTGATCAACAAACAATTTTCCATGTACAATCTTCTTTTATAAGGTTTTTTAAAAAAAAAAAACTTAAACATGGAAAGTATAAACTATTGAGTATATGTTCGTGCTTAACATTACACGTTATTTTTCACTATATCCGGCCAGATATTCTTATAAACTTAGTTATAATTAAGATTACGTAATTTATAATTGTGAAAATGTAAACGTAGTTTATTAGAAGAATTACGCAGAAGTGTAAAATATGAGTGATAATACTCGCTCATGTGACAATAATAGCTTTAATAAAAACCATAATGGCGGCTGAATCGAAAATGTAGAAACACAATATGACTTACTTATTGAATCACCAACTGATAAATGAACGTTCTTATACCTTTAAAGCCATATCGGCAGAATAATAATCTCATAATTGATTCTGCTCAAGTCGGTGCTAGAGATTAATGTATACAGTGAAGTTTCAGCATTCTACTAGAACATTCTTCGCGGAAGTTTAACTTTAGCTTGCCAATATTGCAGGGATGAGTGATGATGCTGCCGTCGGCGAAAATGCAGATACCGCAAAAGTCAAAAAGGATACCCAAATGAAAAATGTAAACATTCCTTATGCGGGTGGTGTTCCCGAAGTGCCACCTCGCACGAGAAGAAAAGAGATCGGAGATCAGGACCAGCACTCGACGCTAATCAAACTCTCACCCTTCTCCGAAGAGCGGAGAAGGGCCATGGTAAGCGAAACCCTTAAAACACCAGAAGAGAAGCCAATGGAATCGGTATCGGATGAGGCTGCAGTTCTCGAGTGGAAATTACAAGAGGTGTTAAGCCAAGAAAAGCCGATGAATCCAGGTGAGTTTTTTATCGCGAGAATCGCGCCTAATTGTTCCGAGATAAATAATTACTTTATATTATAATAATATAGAGTTCTAGAAATACTGTTATATTATACTTCTTATCAGATTATATCAGCGTTTTTAATTACCTATAAAATCATTATAAAAGAATTGGCCGACAGATAGTTTAGCATCAAAAAGTTAACATTTATTTTTAACAGCAATCAAAAACTATTACAAACCTTAAGAAATACCGAAATAAATTTACTTATAAAGTTATATCATAGATAACGTTAAATCATAATTTTAATAGAGCGATAAACCATAGCGGTGTATTGACATCTCTCCCTAACACCAAATTACAATGTAACATCGCGTTCAAAGGGCAAACAAGTAGAATGACGTACTAAATGCAATTCTTGAGGGTTTGGAAGTGACAATCAAATCAATGTCGCTTGCTTATCAACAAGCATATAAATATCATTTGCTCCTCGAAGTAGCCGTGGAATCTATAAGACGTCGCAAGAGTACGCCATGCGCCGGGGAGGTCAGCAAATCCTCCAACCGTCGCAAGCGTTCGCTTCCGCAAGACGAGCTCCAGCCCGAGACTCTACGTCGGCGGAATTTGCGTCACCAGGAGAGTATCGACCGCGTCACACACTACCTCGATATGCAGCAGCGCGAGCCGAGCGGCGTCGATGAGCTGATGTACCCTAGCGCCGAAAGTCGATTTCAGGCGGACAGGGCCATAAAGGGGGTGGCTATAGGATCCGTAGAGGAAGGAGATGAGGTTTGGACATTGCAGTCGAACATGAAGCTTTTAGATCCTGAGAAGCCCGTTGAGACGGCGACCAAGCGACGTAGTTCCTTGAGAAGGAGACGCGAGGATCCTGTCGAGACCGTTATTAATGATATGCAGGTAATTCCTTATCTACCGATTTTCATTCATTCATAGGTATATGAATTGTTAAAAAGGAGTATAATATTACGCCTTTTATTTTACCGATTGCAATTTATATGCACGGGTCTGAACAAAGAAAATGTTTTTTAGCTTAATAGGCAGTTTGTCGTTTTAGCAATTCACGCGTATCGTAAAATTGTCGATTATAAGAATTAGCGTAATAAAGGAAAGATCTTTAAATGAAATGAATAAAAGGTTAACTTACAGGAATTCGTGTTATTTCATAATATTCAAATTATTATAAGCACTTTACAGCAAAATGCCTACCGTGTTCTTTATGACGATATTTTAACATTTTCTTAAATCTTAAACTATATATATTAAAAACTTGAAGTAGAAGCTATTAAAAGTTTCACAACAGTTTTATGGATTGAAAAAAAAACTCGATGAAAAAATGAGGTTGCAATTTAAGTTGAGGTTAAACTTGATATTAAAAACAAATTCACATTTACTGTACCTATATAACTGTGCACTAATTTAGTTGGTGTCAATTAGCTAATTTTTCCATTAATTCAGAAACTAATATTTCTTCATATTGGTGTAAATATTTATAAAAAGTATTCTGACAAATAGTATTCTGATAAATCAACCTAAAATAAATAAAACCTCGCAGAATCGAAATCTAATTATAATGAATATTGAAAATTTAAGGATCGTTACTTTATTATGGACTTACAGTTGAGTTAATTAAAGTTACATTACAAATCTATATTAAAGAATTATCGAAATATAATATTGAACGACATAAAGTGAATTTTTTTAAATATATACTTTTCTCAAATAAAGGAAGATACCGTGAAAAAAACAGTACGCATATGCTCCGTGGATGAGGAAATTCGTATCGAAAGGTTTGATTCCATAGACACGGATGAGTGGATTCCTTTTGCCGAGCTACAAGAAGTACAATTAGTGACTGCGAAAATTCTCACCGCAGAAGAAGCGGCTGATAATATCTCGAAGCGAGACCAGAGTCTGAGAGATCCCTCAATGGTATGACGCATGCATATTTATTTCTCTGTTAATTTTAAAACATTCATACACTTCTGATATTTATTAAAACATATGAAATTATTAAATTAAGTAACTTATTTTAACTTATTGATATCTTAATGCCAGTTAATAGGTAAATTATTTTGTTGAAAGAATTTTTTCGCAAAAAATCGTAAATATACATGTTGCAATATATAACTAAATTGCGGAAAGTCATTGAGTAATAAAGGACATTTTTCTTAAATTGATATAGTTCTTTCGCCAACATAACCGTAATAAAGTATTTTTCATTTTAACTAAACGAACGCTTACGCGAATTTTAATACATTCGTGTTTCATTAATAATTTGGAATTATTGAATATCCAACATATATACATCATGCTATAATACGCTTAAAAAAATATTATTACAGGACGGAAGAACAACAATTGCGAATCTGATTAGCGATAGAAGTATCCCAGAGGCTCGAGTTCCACCATCGTCTAGCCTAAAACCAAGCGCCTCCGAGAACGCGATAGCCGGTATCTGGAACGATGACAACATGATCTCAGAAAAGAATATCGATCCAAAGATCCTGATGGACCTGTCGCGCGTCACAAGTGATCTAGTGCACGAGCAGTGCGAACAGTACCATTTCGACGAGGAGCACCTCACCGTGACAAAGCCGAAGAGGAAGCTGAGTCGCGTCAGTAGCGACAGTGCATGTGGGGTCAAATCGAATGTTACATTTCATTTCGGTGACAACGGCTGTTTTAATGCGGAGATGCTTTCTGACAGACATTCGCAGGTCAACTTAGTCGCGTATGAACTTAAAGGCGTGATGAGTCCGACTCGTCGTATATTCCAGGCTGAATTGTCGATCGTCGGAAAAATTCATTGCGATAGTGTAAAGGATAATAAATTCAAGAGCCTCATAAACGATAATTCGACTAAGAAATGGAGGAGGTGAGTTATCACTTTGACTGCTTTATAATTATCGAGTATTCCAACTCATCGAATATTATGATCTGATTGAAGAATTTTATAGAATACTTGGGGATGATAAACTATTTATCAAAAACTAGCAAATCATTTTGCTATATATAATGAAGTTTCAATAGTGATAGAGAAAAGGTTTCGTGAAATATTTACCGAAAAATATACCTATACCTAAAGATGATTATATTTTAGCAATATCGAATAATTACAAATTCAATTTGTAAAGTTCTTATGAAAAGATAAAGAATCACTATATAAATTACAAGTCCTGGTTATGCTAAATAAAACTCTTTAAATTTAAGAATGCAATTAAAAATGGAAGCTGCTGCCTCGTACAAACGACGTGTTTGATTCAATATTTAACAATATTATTACTGCAATATCAATACTAGTGTAGTATTCATTTGCTTCATATAAATTTAGTGTGAAGTTCATTCATACTTTAACTAGTAAATATTTATTTCCAATGTCCTGTAAAAGGTATAGTATCAGTGTTTGTTTTCACGCTTAGATTATATAATATGACGATTAGTCGAAAAAAATAAAATAAACATTGGCAATTCCCTTGAGCTCAGTACCCGCTCAGATAACGAAAGCTCCTGGCTTGTATTGTTGATCGATTTAAATAATTTAGAGTTCACTTAATTTTAATCCAGTATAAAAAATATTTCAAAGTTACCGAAACATATGATTTTCACTATGACTTTTAATTTTATGCATCTTTAATCCAAAAGAGTTGTGAAAGAAAGCATTACACATATATTTTTTTAATTTCATAACATATTAATCAGTATATGAATTACATCAAGTTTGTTAAATAAAAATAGATATTATTAATAAATTAATTTAAATAACAATATTTGTAATTTAAAGTGGATCATTTTACAATGGAGTAAATGAAACGAGAAAATAAATATTTGATTAAGGTTTCAATCATTTTTTTAAATTTATATTCATTAATTTACTTGCTATAATAATAAATGTCAATTTATATGTATCCTTTTAGATTTAGATTAATTAAATTTGATTACTAACTAAATAAAAAGAACAATTTTATGAACCGTGAATTAATATACATACTTTTTAATAAACAATCGACTTCCTTGTATAAGTAAAAGTATTATTGCAATGAAAGCAAATATCAAATCCACGTCAAATATGTACGATCGCCAATTTTTTTAAAGATATTTGTACGTCATTTAGATCTCAAATCAATAACAAATAGTAGTTTATTTAGGAAAAATATTCTGAAGAAATTAAAGATACAGTAAATTAATCTAAAAGTTTGATGTAGATTGATTCTATAATGTAGAGTAAAGGTGTAGATATACGACGGAAGCAGTAGAACTATAATACTAAATAAGCATACTTTTAAAACTTTTCATCGGGACAAGCATGTCAACGAATGAAATTACTTAAATGAAGATACATTTTTATCTGAAATTGAAAAGTCACGTAATTTTCAAATCAATAAATCAAATTGAACTGAGGCGCGTGGAGTTATTCCTTGCGCTGAAATAGTCGTACACTTATAGTGCAATAAAATTGACTTACATGCATACTTACTTCGTTATCGCCTACGTAATCGAAATTCAATAACCCAGTATGACTTCAGTATGTTCAATTACTATTATTAAGAAAGAGCAAAATGGATATGAACGCGCACAAGAGGAAAAAATAATGAAACAAAAAATATAGGCCAATGAACCCGTCATTTGCGCGAACAAGACTAGCTTCGTTAATAAATGGCTTCCACGTTACTAAACTAAATCGTGCGGCTGGTTTACGTCTCTAAGCTCATTAGTATTTGTAGCAAAGTGAAAAAAGAAAAACAATGCGCGGTACTAAAAATGTTCGCATAAAACGCAAGTTGACGCTCTCTGATATCGTGCTCTTTCAGCCCTACGTGCTTTCAACTATTTCTGTTCCCCCAAACCTTCATAATTTCACTGCAATTTCACTACGTTGCTGAAGATCTTAGCTACATGTTCCTATTGTTGTAACCCAGTTCAATTTCTCGTTGCCTTTCGTACTTACTCGAAAGTAAAAGAGAAAAGCATCACAACTTTTTAAATTAATTCATAAAATAGAATACTGCAAAATACTATTATAACGTACTTATAGCAAAACTTCTAACTAGCAGTAATGTTATCAATAGCACTTGCCACTTTCATACTGACTTTCATTTTTATCCATTAAGATAGATCTTTACATTTTCGTTTTATATTCAATTATTCACTATCTTCAATCTTCTGTATTAATATAAACTAGTAAAATAAACATTTTAAAAACTAATTCACATTAAACAGTCTTACTCTCTTAGAGGGAAATTAATACAACAATCGGCATTATTATTCACAATGAATTGTCGATGTATTAGTGGACGAAAATCAACAATGAGGGATGCTTGAGTGCAAGTAAACAAGAAACGTATGTAGAATCTGCTAAACCTTCGTGAAACTAAACAAAATGAAAAGTCACAGAGATATTTGTCTTCCTTTCCTTTTTTTTTACATACCTATGTTATGCGTAGTAGGGTGCAGATGTGACAATTGATGCGACAATTGATTGCTGGAGTTTGATTCGTGAGTGCACGAGGTCAGCGTCCGCTTAATGTGCAAGAGGCCCCGAAAACGAATGTCACTTTAGTGCAGAAAATAATCGAATTAAGAACACAGTGAGTACTTCAGTTATGGTATTTATTTGGCCGCGCGTGTACGATTATAACGTGGCGGAGAATTGCCGAGCGTATAAGCTCGTTTATTGAAGTTCACGCGAGGCTACTTAATAATCGCCAACGAATGCTCTCGTACACGTACATTTTATTTTGCAATGTACCTCGTGACGCCTGTTTATTCTCTATTTAATCTCATTGTGCGAACGATACAGTCAAGTAATTTCTTGGCTTTATACAAGCCCATTGTGTGTGAGTGCGAGTGCATGTATGCGAGCGCGCGTGCGTATATGATGGCCATGTGCGTGCGTTATGAGCGAACCACATTGCACGCAACAGCGAAAGACTCGCGAGAGAAACACTAAAATACTTCGCTTTTCTTCTCCGTTTAAAGCTTCTTTTGGCTTTTATAAAAAGACGGTGTTTACTCAAATGTACGAATCACGTATTGTCATCGAAGCAGTTGCCATTGTAATAAGAATTGAATTTCGCATTACAGCTTCATACCCACTAACCTCGGCATCGTAAATTATTCTTCCATCATTTTAAAATGAAATAGAAGTGCGATTTTATATATAAGAAAAATAATTGATTTTAATATAAAATTTTATTTCTCTTATTTCAATTTAGATAAGATAAATCATTTGGTAGTACCCAATTTATATAATGATATTAAATCGTCTTCTCAAAAGACTTTTGAAAATTTAAGTCTACGTAAATATTTTATGATAAATTGATGCCTCTCTTGAAATTTAAGCTAAAATTATAATTCTGAATTTTTAAATGACTAGGAAAAATTAACCTTTAAACTTTATTAATTGAAATTCTTTAAGAAAAAAAAGTCGCTGATTTAATATCTGAAAATTTTTTATTTTTTACTCGCATGTCCACAATTTTTCCATCATTTGAAAGATTATTTATTATGAATATGAATATAGTTGCTAATTAAGTATTCATCATCGGAACCCTGTATTTAATTTAAAAACAAGTAGCACTCAACTAATTAAAAACACCTTTTCGACTCATTTGACTTTCCTTAAATGAAACACCAATTTATAAACATAAATTGATTTCTTCGGGAAAACTATTATCATAATATATTATGAACATGGGGAGAATAACGAATAGTATTAAGTATGAGAATTGCTAATGTTAATTCTCCATATCCGTTTCAAATTCACTTACTTTCGCTTGATTAATATATTTTTCAATTTCTCGATCTCCTCATCGCACACGAAAATGCACACTACCATTTGTGTGCACACATATGGAGACGTGTTGAGCGAAGCAAGAGTGCGCAAGAACAGACTGCTCTATGCCAAAAACGGACATTGAAGAGATTCATTAGAATCTCGGTTATCGTTAGTGTAAACTAGTCAAGCAAGCACTGAATTGGGGAAATTTCGACCTTTATTCGCCGTTGTTGTCGCTCCGCACAGCGACCTACATTCCTCACGGCAATTAAATACTGCTCGGGGTTTCTAAAGTCACGCGCATAATCCAACCTATGTTCGCTGCGAGTCCGGTTACATGGAAGAAAGCTGACGAATAATGCGAATGTATATGCAAAGTCAAAATGCGCTCACAGTAAAGGGGCTTGAGGAAATATTGAGAGCGAAAGTCGATGCTCGTGTTACCGACTGACGCAGTTCCCGAGAGGATTAGCCGATGACGAGTCACGCTTAACCTGAAGGCCGAATAACATTTCGCAATGTTCGGTTAAGTGATATATTACTGTACGCGATGTTTGAATTCTAAAATTGAAGAGAATTGATATCTTTCTTACTTATAACTGATGCTTCCGCTTGAAAATCTTCACTTTTCGGCAACAAGCAAAATAATCTTATAGAAATGAGTGTATCGTTACGAATTTAAGAATCCCAATTCGATTTATTAATATACATTATTATTAATATACATTAATAAAAAATTAACTTTTTTTCATAAATATTTCACTTATTTTTAGTTGCATTTATAAAAACACATCACTCCGATATGATTGACTACAATCGTGGATCGGGAAATCGAATTACTTATCGCGCATAAGCTAATGATTCATTCAAATTTAGCATCGGATGTAACATTGATGAACCTTCGATAAGACTAAAGCAACTTTAACGGAAGTCAATCAAATATCTGATAAAATGTAATTTTTTAGAGCAGCGTATAACTTGACCAAGACATAGTAAATATAAGATTACATTATATTACAAATATAATCATCTTAACATTGAGGAGTGTTCACTATTTATTATACCTGCAGCACTAAATTTAACTAGTAAGATAAAAAATGAAACGTATTCTTAACAATAAATACAAAAATTAAGTCTTTTGTTATAATTTATATAATTTTTTTAATATTAATATTAAAATTATATTTTTATAAATAAGATAATCCATTGTTTCGACGCAGGTAAAAAATTTTAAAAAATATCCGCATAATAATAATAATATTAAACGGACAATGCAATTTACTTATTAATATGAATAATTGCTTATTAAATATCGTACTAATTACAGAGTAATAAAATTCCAAAAATTACACCAATCATAATTTTCCTAATTCATTTTCAAATAATTTTTTAATACATAAGTAAAAGTGATAACATCGAGAAAAAAAGTGTCAATTTATGGACTTATCAATTCCTTAAAAGTTCGTATGAATACAAAAATCTTAAAGTGGAATTCCATATCTTTAATTTCAATGTGACCTAGATTCGGTATCTTTCAATTTAAGTAATGAACGGTAAGGGGATGTGGAATTCTATACTATAAGCCTGCTCCGCAAATAAACACTTTTGTTCATTCTTTTGATAGATTGGATTATATATAAATAACATACATTATATACATAAATTATAATTTAATGATATATAAAAATGAAAATTGGTTGAGTAGTAGAGCTTTATTTAATAATACAATATTTGTTGTACATTACACTCCAATAACTTAGTAAAATTATTATCCGTTGAATGTGATTATTACATCGATTATTTTTATGTAATCATTTATTTTTATATTATGTAATAAGCGAATATATTGTAAAATTTATTGAAATGATAATTCGGTTATAGATATAAGTTAAAATAATATTGTTATTAAAAAATTGCTCTAATTTATGTGTCAGTATGAGTTAGCGTTAGCAGTCTTATTCTGTAATCTGAGTCGTTGAATATAACTATTAGTCACTCTTAACTTTTGAATTTAAAATTACAAGTTAAGTTTTTAACTACTTTTTTTACAATTTAACATTAGATTTAAAAATAACTGTTGATTAATTAATACGTTTATAGAGACTTTTGGTAAAAGTATAACATATAATATTGTTACGAATTAAATAAATCTATTTATTTCAATACATTTTTTCTTAAATAAACCGTTATAAACTACATTATACATCATTTTCCAAATACAATGTATTAATTATTATATGATGCACTACATATAAATTTCATTTAACTAAAACTATTAAAATTGCCTCCTTACTATAACAGGGAAAAATAAAATAAAATTATCGACCGATAATTAAAATATGTATTACACTTAATAATTCTGAAAACTAATAAAAGGTATTTGTATAATCTAAACAATAACTCAGAATTAATATAATTAATGAAATACATAATATATTTTCAAACTTTATGCATGAGAAAAAAAATTTGTTAAATGGTATTTATATTAATATTGATTTTGGAAATATTATTTTTAATTCTATTTTGAATATAAATATATTTTCGGCAACTAATCATAGTGAATAGTTTCGTATTTTCAATGATAGGAAATGAACGTACATTCTTTCATCTAATATTTCTTAGAAAACTTTCCTCAAAATTTCGCGGAACCTTCATTTTATTAAAGTAAAAGAATATTTATACTTAATCTAAGGGAAATTAAAAATTCAAAGTACACATGGAAAAGGTAAAATTTTTAGTCCGAGCGCATTCTGCATGGAAATTATAGAAAACTTGAGCATTAAAATGTGCTATAAAATATTCTAAAGATATTATGAAATTAAATTATAAATGAAAACTTACACAAAATATAAGCTTATCAGGAATACAATTATTTAGATCTTATTAAGAGCAGGTTATGCAAATATAATGAAAGTAAATGAAAAAAGAGATTCAAATAGAAATAATTATTTCAAGGAATTAACAAAACGCCTTGTTCATTATGATAAGAATGCTCCATAAAATTAATACTTTCCTCCCAACCGCAACAAACTTCAAGGCAAGTATTTTAATCGCTATTTACTTTTCGGCCAATCTCGATAATATCAATGTCCCCACTTGAGTGACATAAAGGGGTCGACCTCGTTCCTTCGAATCATCGATCCTCGAACACTGAAAAAGTCTGTTGGGCCGTACGAAAAGAGCATACGGCATGACGCGCGCCGACGATCAATCGTTAGTGCCTCGAACACCCAGCGAATCTGTGTGACGGGTCGGGGAGAATGGGGGAGAGGGGAACGCAAGTGAAGAAAGAAGGTAAATAATGCTACTCGTCACCCGCGACTAGAAGCCCCCCCCCCCCGGCCGTGCGCACGCACCCAGAGCAAAGCCTTAGCTAAGAACCGCTGGGCCGCTGCTTACACAGCCCGTCTGCTTTAATTCCCGAGTACATGCGCGCGCGCGCGCGCGCGCCCCCTTATTAGATCAGCCTGTAAGCCTGTTTGGAGTGAGCCGCTTGTCCCGGAGCTTCAGTGCCAACGGACACCCCGGTGACGGCGTAACGCCACCCTCAGAGAGATCGGGCACCGGCGTCGCGGCATTCGGCCACGCCGGGAGTCCCACGGTTAGTGCGAGTCCAGTCTGTAAGTTTCACAGCCGCGAATTTTAGACTACAAAAACCAACTTGGTAATTATAGGCGGCAGAGCGCACGCGGAAGTGCGCTTCAATTGCATGTATACTATATGCTTTTGCTAGGCATGGCGACATTCTAATCGCAATCGGCACCGTCAACGCGTTGCCGCGACAGGCTTCGCGAAAATCATACTCTCACAACCAATGTGCTCGCTTTTCAAATCGATTCGCATCACAGTGTTTGCTTTGCACACGAGTCACAAGCGATCGTAACGGTTTTAAAGCATGGATATATAATATTTACAGTGCCAATCAAGTCGTACGTTTTTTTTTTGGAACCAAGAATATACGAATGTTGTAAATTCAGTGATTTACTCTTATCAATATGTACAACTCGAAATTAATGAGTCACGTTTATGCTACAGCATTAAATAATGCACTACTGATTTTATTTGTTTATTTTCTTTTACAATCATTTTTATCATAATATTTTGATATATATATATATATATATATATTGTCTAACGTTATGTGCATTGTAAATATCAATGAGCCTGAGGTTTTTAAAACCTCAAGTCGAAAACGGTTTTAATCGCTTCAGTACACAAATACCATTTCATCCAAATCAAAGGATACGAATTCGAAATTTGTATTCTTACTAATTTCCGGTCTGAATAAGCAAACATGATTTAACTATAGCTTAGTATAATCGATGAATAACTGTTACAAACTATACAACTTTGTTACTTTACTTGCCATCTCAATAAAACAATGTGCCATTTATTGCATGAATGGTACTGATAGATGTATAGTTTGCTGATATCCAATAGATTGGATATCAAAAATAAGAAAACAATTTAAATTTAATTTGAAGACTTTTTGATGTAAGTAGATTTTTTAATGGTCAGTTGTATCGACGTTACGTAATATGTGGCGCAATTCATTTCAAGAGACATCGTTTGTATTAATCTTTCATCACATTACTCTTTCTTTTTTCTTTTTCATTATTATAAAGGCTATTAGGAATCTCTTTCAAATCATTACCTTAATTTAAATTTAGATAAAAATCAAATTAGTGTTTGAATAAATATATAGTAATTAGATTATAATATAAAATACACTTCTAAGATAAATAAGAATTTCAAAAATATTTTTATATCATTTATGCGATACCTTAAAATAATATATTTTATCTACATAATTATCCTAATAACGACTTATCTATTTATGACAATATTTAATCTTCTTTAAGTGTTCAGCGGTATTATATTACCAGTATGTTAGATATACGAAAATTAACAGAATAAACAGTTAAATATTTTTCCGTAGAATACAATATGACAAGTACTAGTTATGATCCTATCTCTTTATATCGAATTGCATAGGAAAGGAGGATACTTTAAATAAATATGATATCGGTATTTAAACTTCGATATGGTAACTTTAAATATAAATTATAACTAATATAATAAAATTATTGAATGCTGTTATTTATATGCAATAAAAATAGTACAATCATATTATTGATATGGTAACTAATATATTTAATTTTCACTTATAGTTATTTTGAAAACTTCAAATCTAGATAAAAATTATTAATTTTAAATTATTATTATTATTAATTAAATTATTAATTATTTTTTATTGTATGAATCTAGATGTACAACTTTTTTTATTTATAATATTCAATTTAGATGTGGTAGCTAAATTAATAAACGTTGCCGTTGAAACAGTCTTTAACCATTTCATCATGACAATCATAATTAAAATTTGTTATCTTTAAAACGTAGCTAGTTATAATATAAAACACAAATAAAACATAACTATGTGTTATTATATACATTATATACAACCCATTTTCCTTGAAACTCGATTACTAATAATTGAAAAAAGAAGCCAAAGAAACGTAGCGTATAAAATGCACTGCAAAGAATAACCTTGCCAATATGACCCTATATTGCATAGATCAATTAAAGAATATTTAGTTGGCTGTTCAACTTTTATATATACCATATTAATGCACTGTAATTACGTAGAATGGAGTACCTACAATCGAAAATGTATGCTATTATTGTGATATTTAATTATAATCGAATATCATCAAATATTATAAAATTATTACATAAAATTTCAAATATTTTATAAGCCACAGACATCACATTAAAGAATCTGAGTGACATCGGCATTTGAAAATTGATTTATAGAAAGTAATGAATGTATTAAATTTAATCCATCCTATCAAAATAATAAAGATTATTAGTAATAAAATTTTAAATTTAACTCAAATACTCATTATTTTTCAAACCTTTTTTTTTTTTTTTTAATAAAAATAGAAATGTTCAAATTTTGTTATATAATACATATAATATTTACATATTTTCATAAAAGAGCTAATTTTATAAATAATTGTTAATATTGGTTGGCTATGAAATAATGTAAATCTTTGATGGCGTGTCAATTAACGTTCATCATTTCCATATATTCAGATTTCTATATATATATATATATTCTAGACACAAAAATATGTTATTTTTTTTTTTCATAAGAATTCAGATTTATTTAATAAAATATTTATAAAAATGTATATTTTACATTTTTTAAAATATTTACTGTGACAATGAAATACGAAAATTTAAAAACAATAATTGATCTTTCGGGTCAAACGTTATCAGTAGAAAATATTAAATTTAACCAATTTTATATTGTTATGTATTTCACCATATGATATTTCAAAAAATATTTTTGAATAATATTATTCCACAATTATTAAAATGTAATTATTTTAGTTTAATGAAACAAATATAAGATAAAAGATTTAAAAACTACATTATAAAATATGTCAAATTATATTCTTCTTCTTCAAAAAAAAAAACATTCTTTTTTTCAATAGAAAATATTTATTACAACTCGAAATATTTTTTATGAAATAGAAATGGAAAAATTTTCATTTTCCATTGAATGATTTTCTGCATAAAATATTATATAGAAAGTGTAGCTGAATAAGCGATTATTCATAATTGCATTAATGTTACATTAATTCATTCGGTTTCTGAATTACCACTAGGGATACCCCTCCACCATTTATCCCTCGGAGCCTGAAACTGAAATAGAAAAAGCAAAATGAAAAATTCATGATATCGGTATCCATGTATAAATAAAATACCATCCTCAATAGTGTTTCATAGTTTTCGCATGTATGTTTAAAGCAAAAGATACATCGGTAACTTCTCGCAAAGAATCGTCCCTCAAGTGCTATTTACATTTGGTGATGGGCCAATGTTCGCTTACATCGCCACTGCTGAATCTAAATAATCAAATGATAGTTGGCGGCAATGACACAAATGGCTCCGTAGTTTCGTTAACCCGAGTACGGTAAACAATTTTGACACTAGTCGTTCCTTGCTCCATCATACTTTTCCGCATATTATACGGCTATACATTTTTGGATTATTATTGCGTGATCGCGGAATGAGAAACAGTAAAGTACTGGAAGCAGGCCAAAAGAAATATTTTACAGGTTTCGTTGTACAATAGTTAGATGAGCTCGAACTTCTTTCCTTAATCTGTCAAGATAGTGAGGATTTAAATCTTCTGTATCTTTGAAAATTTGGAAAGTTGACTTATGCAACTTTTTAATGCTATGATATAATATAGCAAGTGAGAAAAGCTTCACGACGTTAATATTCATATATATTTTATTTATTTACTTTTATTTACACCGTAAATTTTAATACTTTTCTTAATTTATATTTAAAATATGAATAATTCTGATTTAAAATGTAATTCAAATTAATAAATATCATAATGAAATGTTTTTTAATATTGTTAATATGTTATTTTAATAATTTTTTCTACACTTTATGTATATATCGTAATATTGAAATTAAATATTTATAATGAGCAAAGTTGACACATATTTTATTATTATAGAATTTATTAAATATTTATCTTAATATATCTATAGTGTTTAACCCTTATTCATATACTTATTTTGATTATACAACGAAGAAATTATTTTTATCCAAAAAATGATTAACTTTTATTATATCATTGATTTAGTCAAAAGCATATATCACTCAGTTAGAAATATATTGGTTCAAACAAACAATTTAAACAAAATAACATCGATTCAATATACTAGATTTTAAATTATTTTTACATTTCAAAGGAAAATTTTAATATTCTAATTACATTTTTCATACCGTTTCAAACTATAAGGTAATAATAATTATAATCTTCGACATTAATTTTTTTATTCTGCTTTAATATTTTTCTGAATCTTTTATTCTGAATACACTTCTTTTACCTCAATAGCTCTTTTTATGAAAATGTAAATAGATGAATTTTCATTATTAATAATATTCACCTATAGTTAATAGTTGAAATAATTAATTAAATTAAAATTAATTAAACATAAGAAATAAGCTCTTATTATATGTGTATATATTTATACTTATATTACATATTTGTTATTAAAGAAAAAAAAGAATCATTTTATTCTATGATATATGTATATTATCAGCAATTCATTGTGTAGGAAATAGTGAACTATAGCATTCAAAATAATACATTAATTCATCGATCTAAATCTTAGTGTATCAACTGATTACAAATACTAAGGAAAACCCATCGTGGATGAGCAATTCCATCTATTCTAGACGCGAACACCATTATCCGTACAAATATCTCTATGCGATGGATCATCGCCCCTGTTTTTGTGAAGCGTTTCAGTATCTCGTATCAGCGATTCGATAAGGTCCCAGATGAGGCATGAGGCATGTATTCGACAGTTGGGTGCGATTGCGCCATCCATTAGAAGCTCATTCAGTCGCTTCGCTTCCTTCTGACTTCCCCAAATCATTCCGCTCCTCGTAATCAAGTATGAGACTGCAAAGCCTATTAGTTGCTCCAATGTGTATCATCAGAGAAAGAGAACTTCTGGTGGGTTGTAGAGGCGGCGGTGTGGGTCAGAGGTTCGCAGGTCGACCGAGTATAGGGTATCGGGATGCGACGGAGCGGATGACATGGTGGACAGGGGGCGCCGAAGACGAAGGAGAAAGAGAAAGAAGGGGATCGATAGTCGCGAAAACCGGCCTCACCAGACAACCCGACATGATACAACTTGCGGTCGTGATCTTCATTAAAGCGAGGACGACCGCGAACTTCACATTCCCCAACCGAAAACATTCATAATAAATTTAACCGCGGCATTAGCAATTAGTTATAATAATTACTTTCATATGTATTCGTTAGTTTACTTATTTTAACATGTTACCATGATCGCTACCTATACATTATTTAATGTATATTAATTAATTGTAGTAACGCCTAACTATCATTAATAAGCTAGATTACTTTTTATTTTCAGAAATGACAGAAAATAGTTGTATTAATTTCAACGTTGTCTATTAAAATTATTAAATCTAATACCAGGACAATTCACATTACAAAGATTCTTTTGATTTTCTTTCGTATCTATGGAATATAACAGTGTAGTTCTTAATTATGTTATTTTATTTTCAATACATTAATTTTTTTTACAATCTACTTGTGCGTATTCTCAACTTTATTTTATATTAAGGATATTAATATTACTAAAAGATGATTACTTAAATAATTATTACTTAAAGTATTAATATACGTTTTAACGTTAATAAGCTTCTTCTTAAATCTCTTGAAAATTACACACGTGTTTTTTTATTTTAATTTTTGTAACAGAAGCTATTATACCTGAAAATATATTATACTTATTTTATATGCCGTTCGGGGTAAAAAATACAATTTTTCACGAATTAATGATATAATGAAATGAAAAAATCTGTAATATAATGAATAATGAATCTGTCAAAATTTGAAATTAATAAGTTTTTCTGAAGTAATAGTAAAGCATAATTCATGAAAATTTTGTCAAGGTTATAAGTATCTATGAATCATAAGGACTCCATGTTTCACAATACGATTTCATAAATAGCGTTTAAAATTTGTTGGTTTTAAGATTAAATACTAATTATTCTTTCCTTTTGCTACAAGACAAAAATATCCGAATTAACCTCTTTAATTGTTAAGCTAATCATAATTGTTAATGAAAACGAAAGCAGGATTTGTAATAGAAAAGTAATCATATTTAATGTTTTAGTTTTTAACTTTATTATAAATTTATCTTGAAATATCAGCATTTCGTTTTTTCAACTTTAACTGTAATTCAAATATTTTAAATTTACGATGACATATACTTACTGTACATAGTAGCTCAGTTTACTGCAGAACATGTTTCATAATTTAATATGAAGTAGCATATATAATATAATATTCTAACACAATCTTCACTATTTATCGTTCTTCGCTGCAAAATCTATTTAAACAATAATAATAATCCATTAATTTTTCGAATTTTTCAAAATGTCCTTGTTATATATATCAATTTATTATAATTTTGATCTACAAATATCCAATGGTAAATTTACACATTTTGCAATTTATAGCACATATTAACAGATTATAAAATACTTATAATCATTATTCTAAATATATAAAATAGTGACGAACATTTTAAAATTGATTAGCATGATAGAATTTTGTAATAATTTCGCGATTCTTGACGAAACTACACATCAACCAATTGCATTTTATTTTTATAAAATAAATAACTATTTCAATATAATGATAGTAAATACACTATCATATTTTCAGATGGAAATAATATTTCATAGATTATAAAATGAATTCTGAATTTGTTATTGAAATAAATGATGTACACAAAAAAGATAAAAAAATTTTTTATAATACAAAGTCATAGAAAAACATGAAACATCCTTATATATACATTATCGGAATTGGATTCTTTAATGCAGATGTAAAAGATTTTTCATCGCCATATACGTAAAAGGAGCAATTCTCCAAAAGTTTGAAACATTTTAACTATTTAACTTGTTTCGCCAATATCAAATTCTCTCTCTCTCTCTCTCTCTCTCTCTCTCTCTCTCTCTCTCTCTCTCTCTCCCCCTCTCTCTCTCTAAATATTTCGCCAACGTTATCCCATAAAGCGCGATCGTATCTTTTCTCTTCTCTTCTTTATTCTCTTTGCGGGTATGAAAGGTAGAGAATACCACTCTGTTATTCCTCGCACGCACTCCCGGAAAAATTCTCGCGCCCAGAATGTCTAGAGCACCCTGAGATTTCCATGCTGGTAGTTTTTATCGTTGGATGGCCATAAAAAGAGCAATGCTATAAATGTCAGCCCTCTCATTTGTGTCCCGCAGTGCCGAGGAAATCCCGTGGACGAGACCTGGACCGGTGGCTCCGACCAGGCTACAACGCGCGTCCAGCGAAGGCTCGAAATCGCAAGTGAACATTGACTCGAGCCTCCAGCCCGTCGACCAACGTCTACGTAATCGCAGTGTCAGCGACGCTCTCGTTCCTAAGGAAGAGCCACCCCCGAAGTTTGCTGGCGCGAAGAACGATGGTAAGCGACGAGAAGACGATGCAGTTGACGCCATCGTTGCTGGGAATGGCTTGACTGACGCTCGGCAGACCCTCGATTATCAGAGGCAGAGCCTCGAGAGTCTCCTCGAGCCAGGTAAGCGTATTAGATGGCTTTTACTGATTGATCTCCTTTATCTCTTGAATTAAATAGAATTAAATTGCTCGACTGGAAGGATCGTTGAGTTGAGACAGATTAAATGGGAATACTTAGACAATGGAATGCGTTTGGATAGTAAAGAAAATATTTTTTGTATTATTTAAAGTTTCGCGGTATTTTAATCTTATAAAAATATATGCTGGTCTTTATTGGTTAAGGAAAGATTCGTGTAGTTTCGTAAGAATTTATCGGACATTCACTTTGAATTATTTTCAGCGGCATTAAGATTTACCATGATTTTATTCCACTCACTCTTGAATAACATGAAATGAATATTGTTTCAATTTAGTTTTTGTATTTTTTGTAACAAGCTGTGATTTCATTAAAAGCGTTTACATTATATTTTTTATCTCTATCGCTTTTTTTTATGCAGAATAATGTCTGTTTATACTTATAAAGTTTTAGGGTATATTAGATGTAAAGAATTTTAAGCTATTAAATAAAATTTTTATATTTTGTAATATTATAATTGATGTAATAGTAAAACCAATACTGTATACACTAAGAGGACCTTAACAAGTTAATTAATCATAATGTGTTGGGCCTGTTGTAAACTTATATAACAAAAATTAAAATATTATAATTTTACTTCATATTTGCTTCAAAATAAGGTATTAAATTAAACCTTTAATTTTTGATGTAGAATATTTATGCAATTAAATGAATTTATTAATTTGTGTACAGACAAATAATTATCACATTACTTGCTTCATATTGTTTTCAAAAAAAATTCCTTAAAATTTGAAATTTATGTTTTATTTTATAAAAGAAGTAAATATTAATTTTAGTAAATAGTGCTTGAACTGCGTCAGTATTATTTAGCATTGAAAATATATAAGAAGAACAAGAGTTAAATAAAATTTACTTTTTATTTAAAGGTTTTTTAAATCTTACGCAATGCTATAATATAAAATGCACAGCGTATAAAAGTCATTCAAAATGAAATAATGTGTTCGTTAGAATTTTCCCTTTCTCATAAAATTTGAAATCTAAATAATAAGATTTTCGTTGAAAAGAAAATAATATAATGTTTAATATTATAGCATTGAATAACACATAATATCAGTTGTTCATTTTCTGAATTTATAATAATTATTAAAGGTTAATTTACGGATTCCAACAATAATATTTGTTTCAACTTATCGCTTATAATTACTTCGATATGGAATTGAATGCCAGTAAATATTATCAGGAAGGTTGATTAAAATTAATTGATTCCTTAATTAATTCCTTTATTTCTATTAATCTATCAATTATTAATTTTAAATTTTATTAATTACAAATTTTAAAACTTCGTGAAACTTGAAAGGTTATAAGATTTATCTAATAAAAATAAAAGTATATATATGCTGACTATTGCAAGTATTATCTCTTCATACGTAGTCACTTTTTAATATTAGCCGAAAAATATCTCAAATTTCTCGCAGCACACCTAGACACGAGAAATATAAACGAACACACGAACTACGATTCGATAACATTGCCATATAAGAACTTTCCACAATATACTTTTATCAGTTGCCTCTATAAAATATTCTGGACTTGAGAAACCTAAACTGCACACGGAGCCTAATATATATTCCGTTTCTAGTTATTGCGATACCGATAAGAGATTGAAGCCACAAATTCAGTTAAAAAAAGCACAAATACCCATTTCAGGTAGGGGAGGCGCAGTGATTACCAAGGACTTGGATCCGGAGAAATTGGTTTATTCATCGTGTCATAGTCTACCGAGCAACTACTACAAATCTTTCGAGAGTCCGAAGCGCGAAGTCCACACTCAAACTCAAGGTGAACACAAATCTACACAGTACAAGCTCGAGGACCTCGCCGAGTTCGTGGGAGAGTACTGCTCGCGCGAGCGGCTCCAGTACCTGCTCGAGGAGCGCTTTGGAAGTCCGCGGCGAGAGGTCGAGGTACAGACTGAACAGGAGTGCAAGGCCGTCCAGTGCAATAGCGAGGAGTTGGAAGCGTCGGATGAGTTCGGCCCCTTCTTCCGTAAACAAGTGTCCTTCGGCAGTCCAAAACGCGAGGCTCAAGTGCAAACAGGTCAGGACACCAAGTCAACGCAGTACGACCTTACGGAACTTGGCGAACCAAGACTTCGCCGCCAAGATTCTGTAGAGTCCGAGCCTTCTGAGCTTCAGGGGAAGAGGTTCGTCGATTTTCTCTCGTGGTCTTGCGCTTATGAGGGACTGTGACGCTCACTATTCACGCCGATGGCTGAAAATTTAGCGAATACTCGATTGCACCGCGCGTCGTCATCGGGGTCAAGCAAAATAAGGTTATTTTAGTCGGAGATTGCAACAAGGTGGTGCTGTCATATCTTGAATATTAATAGGGGTATGAAATAATTTGAAGTTAGACTATTTTTATTAATTGTGACAATTCATAATTCTATTTTAGATAAAATTTAAAACTATAGTAAATAAAATTGATTGACTCTCAAGTACTGATCATAATTTATAGAATAAAAGTCAAATTTGCATTTTTCAATTGCTTATGGAGTACCTATCTTATAAAAATAAATGTAACTTTATTTTAAAAAGAGATATGTATTTTCCTACATTAAGAATTTTTTAAATATAATATTGGGAATAATATTGAAAAATGCTATTGATTAATCCGTCATAAATATTTTTGCTATTTCCATCACAATTCTATTAGAACAATAACTCAAATTTATTCAACATAAATATCAGAATTTTCGCAAATACATTTAAGAAAATAAATAGTAAATGTATAAGTTATAATATGTTTGAAAATATATTATAGAAGAAATTTTTTAAAATTTAGTAAATATATCATCCAATAATTACTTTCCATGAACGTAATCAAATTTAATTCTTGATGGATAAAGCAATTTATTTGGTATTATTAACATATATATTGAGTAGGGAGAGAAAAAGCAAAATATTTGGAAGCATGACAAATATACTATTAGGCGCATGCCGGCTTAAGTTGTAGAAAGAACTATAAGAATTTTTATCAAAACATAGAAAATGAGAATAATCAGAGAAGCTTGAGCCATCAATACTCATTTGATAGCTGTCAGCGTCACAGGCTCCCCATAAATAGCCACCCTCGTGTTTTTATGAGAAGACGGCAAATAGGTTGACATCCTCAAATTAGACTCCATGTTCGATTCATCTCTAGGGCAGTCGAATGTTCGGCTTCGTCCCACGAGAGCTCGTCGCCGAGTAGTTCCTCACCACCCCAACGTAGAGCGCCGCCACTTATCCTGTTGTTGAAGGGTGGAGTCAAGGCCGACATGACGGTCACGCATCGAGACAAGGACGGCAACGTCGTGTGGGCGAAACACTGGGGTCCCGAGAGGCTCGTCGAAATCTACAGAGAACACCAGACGAGCCTCGGGCTCAGCATCGTTGGCGGCAAGGTAAGTCTTGTGCACCCCCCTCCCCCACGAATTTGGCGAGCCACAGCAAATTGAAGCTATAAGTATTTAAGCCGATAATACTGTAGCAAGGGACCTAAGGAAAAGTTGTTCCTAACTAAAACCTTGACGAGGTCGCGATGCATTTTCCCCTTTACGCACGGCTGCTCGTAAATTAAACTTACCAAGGTTTGTCGCTCTAATACACAGGCTTTCCACTTGCATGATTTCGTTCATCTAGGCTTGTACGTTTTAGAAAAATATGTTTGCTTTATTACGCAGCGCTAACAGTTTATGCCTACACTAACCACAACAGAGATCAGCCTCTTCTTTATCATATATAGATAAATAAATAAATATATATATATATATATACTTATTTACTCGGCCAGTCAATAATTATACCTTTTTTAACCAAAATAATATTTTCTCAATAATATATATATAATGTATATAAATATAGAGTAGGGTTGTCAATTATCATAAACTAATTTCTTATAAACACTTTATATCTATTAAAGATTACTATTGTATATATCGTCATTGAAATGAAACATTAGTATTCTAAATTAAAATTACTTGATGTTGAAATCAAGAAATTGCTTTATTAATTTATTTTTACTAATATTACAATAATATCATACGCAATAATATTGATATATCCAGAAATCTATTATGAATCAAATATTTTTGAAACGTTGATATTCACAAAAAGTATTCATATTGAGTATAAAATGTTTTAATATTAATGCGTATTAAAATGCAATAGTATTAATTTATAATAGAATATTTTTCAGAATATAAAAAAGATAATTAATTTTTTTACATAAATATATAATTTGTACTTTAAAATTCCATCTCAATATGATAATTTCAACGTAACTTATAATAATTAAGTTTCTTAACTTGATGATATTCAATTCAATCAGGCTAATCTTCGTAATTTTTACCTTAAGTATAAAACGAATGGGATGTGAAATGATGTAAAATATGAAATTAAAAATATTTAAATTTATTTTTTAATATTAAAAATTAAAATATTATATTATTTGTAACTTCTATTTTTTTTTCTTATGAAATTATTGTAATAATTATAGTAACCCCATATATTTATGATAAAAATTTGTAGATCGATCTACAGGAGAGTAGCAGTTCTAGTTCATCGCAGAATGTATCTGGAATATTCATAAAAAATGTGCTGCCAAATAGTCCAGCTGGGAGAGCAGGGGGCCTACAGGTAATAGAAAATACATTCTTCAAACTTATAATTATAATCGTTCAGATTTAGTTACTTACTTTACTTTTATTACAATTACCGCCAAAATTTTTTTTAATTTTTTAATTTTTTAAAATAAAATAGTAGTATTTCATTTATAAATAGTAATATTTTTAATTATTTTTAATTAAAGTATAAAAGCAGACTGTGTCATTTATATACTTTCAAATAGTTTTCAAATATTTTAGAAAATTTAGATTATTTTTAAGCCATATTTTCTATTTCAATGCTTTTAACGTAAATGACTTATTTTTAAGGTAATGAATCAAACAAAAAAATGTACGACTTTAATATACTTAATAGTTATTATTCCATAATAAATTTTGCATTATTGATGATAATATTATTTTTAACTTAATTCAAATAAAAATAATAATTTAATTAAACTTAACCTATATATGTATAGGCTTTAATAAAAATATATATTAGTTAATGAATAAATAATAATTTAATAATTAAGTATTATCGAATTTAGAGCGTATTAAATAACTGACGAGATAGTTAAAGTTATAATTCAAACTATTTTATCCATTACTCATGTTTTCACTTAAATAACAAATTATTCGTTAAATTTATCTTATATGCTTCAATTTTACATATAGTAATCATTATTCTTATTTAATACAAATATAAATATTTTGATTTAATGAATGTTTATTTATGATTTTATATTTCGAAGTATTTCACTCCTTATCTGTTTATAAATAAATAAGTAGGTTTTCAATTAAAGGCAACATTCTTAAATAAATGCACTTTTTAATATAATTACTTTTAAAAATATATTATACCAGATATTCAACGTATCATTTTACATTGTAAAATTTATGATATTTTGATTTGAATTCGGATATTATAAATTAAATAAAAAAGAAAGGATATCTCAATATCATATAGTACGGAAACGAATTTTCTAGTATTACCAGCTACATGTTCATGCCCATGTCTTAATAATTTCCATTCCACGAGATTATAAATTTGCATAGCGGCCGTGAACTTCCCCAATTTGGAAACTGCAATTACTGTCTATTCGATTATGAATTCATTATTAAAAGCACCAGTTTATCTCTTAATATAAGCCTATTCCAATCTCAATGGTCAAGCACACGAATGCATATTTAAGGTCTTCGAGCAAGCTGATCTCATATATGTTTACATATAGATGTACGTAAAGCGCTTATATCTGGGAATTGCCGGAAACATCTCATGTGCACACGTGCGCTTTAGAAAATTACGTGACGAAATTTTCGATAGTGTAGATGCGTGCATAAATGATATCGATAAAGAATAATTAAACAATAAAAAAAGAAAGAAAATGAAAAGTTTTGATCCTTATATCTATCATAGCTTGAACTACAATTCGCTTTCTAAACATTAAATGGATTTCTCTCACGTATTTGCTGATACGTAAGAGGAATTTTTATAAGTAATACGTATGCAAGGTTGTCAACGGAAAACTCTTAAATATGTCAGTGATATATTTAGCAAGATTTTTATATCAGTCATAAAAAGGTTATAAAAAATGTTTGGTGCCTCATAACTAAATGGAAAAGAAGATAACACGAAGTTACTTCTATATTTGTAAATTAACATTTGCAAAAAAAAGTTGAAATATCATGTATTTTATATATAATTATTTAATACTTATACGATTAAGTATTTTTCATTATGAAAATATATATACTTTCTAAAAAAAATATATATTAAAATATATTTAAAATATCAAATTCTTTTGAAAATTTATCACAATACAACTAAATTTAGATTACATTAGTTAAGATACAAGCGAACCCATTTCTTAACAATTACTCAAAATCTAGCGAGTGCTACAATAAATTTACATTATATACAAAAACTATATTATATATAAAAAATTATTTATTAATCTCTGAACAACTTTTTACATATTTTGAACGGATGAATATTAATATAATAATACTAAGAATCTTTATGAACACTATATTAAATATATTTAAACATATAACCTACATTTACGATAAATTTGATTTGAAAGTATATTGATTTGTATTCAATAATAATATTAAATAATTTAACTTTTTATTTTATTCCTTGATGAAAAAAATTTTACATTCTAAATTGATATTTATCGATTTTATTGTATACAAAAACAAATTATTATTAATTAAAAATGTACACGTATCGCATGTGAATTGAAAACTTTATAAATATTCATTAGTTCTAAATACATAAGATGATAAAACTATTCATGATTTTTCTATTAAGAGAAATATATTTCATTATTATTACGTGATATGAGCTGTAATATAATCTACTAAAAGATAAATATAACTTTTCAAACTGCACGAGTGTTTCGAAAATTTTAACAAAGATACTATTGACATTTGATCATACTTTTAATTTATTTATTTTTAGACTGGAGATAGAATAATTAAGGTGGATGGTGTAGATTTACGGAACAGTACGCATGAACGTGCTGTTAAAGCGATTCAAGCAGCTGGGAATCCTGTACGGCTGCTGGTCCAGTCCTTGGTGCACTTGGTGAGTCTCCTTACCTCATCTAGTACTTTCACAACCTTTTAAATATTCATTCGGTTTCAAGATATAATTTTCAGCCTTGTCTTTTAACATTTTTCCTTAAAACAATTAAAATTAGGATAATGTTTATTGCCCGTGTACCTGCATTTATATACTTAAATCCTGGCACAATTATATTAGCTACTTTTGAATTTATACACAAGAATATTTTCTATATTGTAATGCATGTACCCATAGATTTTTATACTGAATAACATATTTAAAATATTTTACTTGAGCATTATTATTTTAGCATTATTAACATATTATATATTATATAATACTTCATAAATTTATTAAAATTTAATTATATTAAGTTAAAATTTAATTTTTAATTTTTTTATTTATTAAATTTATTTAGAATATACATCACACGTAACTGTGTGTGTGTGTGTGTGTGTGTGTGTGTGTGTGTGTGCGTTCCTCTGAATACATGAATGTATTAAGATTATAATTTGTATTTTACAAACGAATTTAATTTTCTAAATGAAACAATAAAAACATAGTTTTAATTTGAATATTTTATAATTACTTTTTGAGATAAATTATTTATATAGTCATGAATAATTACAACTGTAATTATGGAAATTTTGACCTACTCTTTTTACAAGAGCGGTAGTTTCATATCGTATGTATTTGAGTAATTTTTGTAACAGAAATAACAATAAAATCTTCATCCGATACTACTACTACATTAACTACAAATACAGAGATAACTATATACAAGTAGTATATAGTAATACTTTTTATTATAAATTAAAATCAAGCTTATATTTAACCAAATTATGCATACATATATATTACACATTAATATATATTTTTATAAACATATGCATAATAAAAAATTGAATTAAAAACATTGATGTAAAGTATCTACAACAGAAATTTCCTTAGATGATTTCGAGATAAATTTATATTATTATTAAAATTAAAGGTAACTGAAAGATAAATTAGTAATTCTAACGTATAGTTTTTTCGTTTCTCTTGAAAAATGCAGCTAACTTTTAAAGTAAGGTTTAGAAAATTATTGCAAAAAAATCAAATTTCTATGCAACAGTATCAAACAGTGGTGTATTTCGTACATGAGACTAATATATATACGCTAATATAAAACAATAGAACCAATTAATTTGTATATCTTAAATAAGAATCTTGATCTAAAGACTTGATGTCAAGACACATAATAATCCCAATCATAAATATTTTTCCATCGAGATTCAATTACTGTAAAACCCTTATTACTACAACATGATGGTGGACCGTTAATTGTTCTCTTTTGTTGAACTTCGTCATTAATGTTAACATAACGACAAATTCGAAATATGTTCTATATATGTTTCTATTTCATTTTTATCTTTTTTATTAGTTTAGAAAATTGATAAAGAAAAAGATGAAATTTTTGTAAGTAATGAAATTCATTAAATCATATTTTAAATAGGTCCATATATTTCCAATATCGAATTTTCTAGCAATTATGATTCATATAAATATATATATATATATATATGGCTATAATTTAAATAATTCAGTTTCAACTAATATAACTATTTTAATTATTTTTGATAGACTTGCTAATGTATGTTACGACTACATGCTTACACATACGTATACACATGAAATTTGTAACAAAATTTTTCAACTAAGTCAATATGAATCATATATAAAAATTTCAAAAATATTTACAAAATATAGCTGTATAAATTAAAATAATTCATTCAATTTCCTTTTTACATCGTATGACTCCTAATTCAGTATTGGTTAATGTATTTGTATTTATTATAAAAGCTATATAATCTATATAAAATCTATAATTTGAAATTCACTTTAGTTCATTTATACACTGGCAAATCCAACTTTTGTAATAATACAATAAATAAGAATGATTTTTCAAACCGTATGGTCATTGAATATTTCATTATAGTTGTAATAAATATAGAAAAAAAATATAAAGAAACAATAACATATTTTCCTGTTGAGATGTATTCATAAAACTTACTCCGGTATTACAGCCTTCATTTCACCGTTAATTTTAATATTAAAAACTATTTTCATGATAGAAGATTCACCAAAAATAAAATTAGGTGTTTTTAATCAAAGGTGAAAAAACCAAGAAGTTTCATGAAATTCCAGAGGCTTATTCCAAACGCGCGTCTTAAAAAATTTATAAAGAAAGCCCGTACAAAGTAGAGTCATTATATTCGATTCGATTAAGCAAAATGAAAGAACAGGAATGGAACTAAATGCAGCGAAGTGAAGCCTTTAGACGTGATAAAAAAAAAGAGCAGAAATCACAGCACCATTGCACATTCGGAACTGATTGATCGCGAATGTCGGTATGCAAAAGGTAGGTCATCGTTGCGTCGAACGCAAATAGCAGCAAAAATAATAAACAAAATCACGACCATCCAAGAGAGGGAATAAGAGGGCCGAGCATCCGCCATATGTACGTGCACAGCTACCCCCCTTTCTCCCGAGCAGCCCCTTCCCAATCGGCTCCAATCAATGTGAAGAGAGACAGAGGCACGAATCGCTCTCCAATAATCCGACACAGCTGGAAGGTTACATGTCGGAGGTGGAAGTCGGCGGTGCCCTCCGCCACCATCCCACCGTCGTACCCCTCCTTGTTTGTCCTCCCCCGCATCGGCGATCGCCTCCTGCCCGCAGCCCCTGCGAAAAAGAACGAGTTTGCAACACGCGCGACTCATATTGCAGATGTGAATGTGCCACGGTCCATCGGACGCGGTGATGGCGACCGCAACCGCCCCCAAACGTGCGACCGCACTCCCTCTCGCTTTCGATAGCGAAGGCGACGCTGATGAACCCTTGGCCGTTGCTGTTACCGCCGGGGTGGACTACGAATTTAGTATGACCACCTCGTTCGCACGACTATGCAGCGTCTTTTTGCTCGTAAATGCGTCACTTTCGTACGTAATTGCATTATTGTTTGTTTGAGTGCGTGATTGGGTGCGTACGTGAGTACGTGTCTGCATATTTGCATGCGTGTGCGCAAGGCTAGAAATCATTTTAGGATAGATATTATTTGGAATGGAATGTTTCGTTGTTTTGTTAGGAAGATTGGTGTCTCGATGTGCAGTTTACGTTTTAATAATCGGACTCGTCACGGCCAATTTACCGTTATTTCTACCTATAATGCAACTGCTTGGAAAATAAATCTGTTTATTCTAATTGAATTATAATGCGACCTCCAAAACGTTAGTTACGTTCATATAGTACCAAGGAAACTAAATTCTCATAACTGATATTTTCTTCTTGTTTTCGCTTCATATCATTATCATTGCGATGTCGTTTGCATAAGGAACCTCAAGAAAATGTGTGCGGTTATAACGTGAGTTTAGCGTACAATTGGATAAAACAAAGATTTAAATTGTAACGAAATTTTCAACTTTGACAACATATTTTGACTGCATTCAAGATGTTTTTCTACATAATGCTTCTATTATTCATAAAAATTAATAAACGAAATAGTTTTGTTAATTAATAGTTTTGCATAATAATCACAACATTTACTGTCTTTACTATTAAATGGAAATACCAATTCAAACACTAGTGATTAAATTTTAATATTTCCAAGTAGTTTAATTAAAATCCTCTATAAGATTATTTATATACTGTAGATTTTTTTATTTTCGCATATATTATCAATGTAAACCTTAAAATATTTCGTTAAAAATTACTCATAAAATTGTTTTGTGAACGCACAATATATTTTGATTAATTTCAATCACGTATTCAATTAAAAATATAAAACTAATATTGTTAATATCTGTGTCAAATATTATTAGTTAATTATTTACAGGAATAAAAAATTTATATTGCTATCGAATTTATCTTTTGCTTTATATAAATCGTTAAAATTCTATTATACAATTTTATACAAGATTTTTCATATTTCTGATAAAGGGTGAATAGAAACAAATATCACATTATGCCTTATATTTTAATTTTAAAAATTTTTCATTTTATATGTTGTATTTTAGTTCTGTTTAAATAGCTTGAAAATTTTAATGATACGTATTCACTCTAAGCAACTTTATTACTTGTAATATTCATATTTTACAAGTATTTGAACAGACATATAGTAACTTTCGTAATTTAATAGCATTTATGATCTTTAATAAAAATGAATATATTTACACAATATTTATGTTTTATAATACAATGGAAAGTGTTTATGAACATGTAAAAATAATATATTACATAAATGTAATAAAGTTTACATAGATTACATAGATATAAAATAATGTAATATCTAAATCTTTTGGAATATTATTACTACTTGTTAAAACCATTAAATTATGGTTTGGTTTGTTTAAATAAATATTATGTATATATTAAAATAATGATTATTACTATTATTTTACCTATAAATAATCGAAAATTTTCCTAATATCATTTAGACATAAATATAAATAAAATATCTTCCTATCTACAGTCATAAGAATATATTTGTACTCTTATTAAATTGGGATTCACTTTTATTGAATGATAAATATCGTAGATATTATTCATAGTTGAAATAAAAACAATACTTTTACTTATTAATTTTACATAAACGCTTATTTAATTTATCATATTTAAGACTATTATATATATTCATTAAAGTGTGAGTGAATGCAAAATTAATAACTCTCTCTCTTTCTCTCTCTCTCTCTCTCTCTCTCTATATATATATATATATATATATATATATATATATATATATATATATATATATATATATATATCTATACGCATAAATTGAGCATAAATATATGCCTAATTATGTTTTTATTTATCCAATTTATCGCAAAATCGTCAAAAAATATTTATAACAATAGCAATACATTCGTATATAATGTAAATAAATCGTTCAAATAAACAATTAATATTATGCGAAGAAAATAAAACCTGTTTAAATGAAAATGTTTTCTTTTAATTTTGGCTTGCTAAGTTATGTAAATGTATAAAAATTTTTAATATTCAAAACAATATTTTATATTTAATTAAAAGAATTTACATAACTAATATTGAAAGTACATAGTTTAAGCTCGTTCTAAAATTTATTCACCGATTGTATCTTTTCTCTCGTACAACGTGATATTGACAGTTCGAAAGAAAAATATTTAAATACTTAAATAAGATCCATACAATCTTAACAATCAATTATTCAAAAGAAATAAAAATCCTTGAAATTTATCAATGTAACACCTTTAAATGGATTCTACAGTAAACGTAGCACAGTTTACCCCTAAATTAAAATTTCAAATTAGAAACTACTAAAACACATGTTCCTAGTTTTTATGTACATATCGGAATGCGAAAATTAATTGAATTTTTGAGAGGCATATTGGGCGAGGTGGTAACGAAATTGTTAAAAGCAAAAGCTATGACGAATGCTACGATTCTATTACGTTTCCTGTGAATTGTCACTTTTAGAGTCCAGATAATGAAGGCTCAGTACAAGACAAAGGTGGAAGCGGAGGCGGAAGCTGTGGTGGTGGAGGTGGTGGTGGCGGTGGTGACGGTGGCAGCGGCGGTGTCCACAGGTCCACCAGGAGGCAAAGCACCAGGCACCGTATCTCCATGGATGGTGATGCACCCGGTAGCCCCACATCCTCCTTCCGGTACAGATCTGGCTCACCGAGCAGATCATCGGAAGTCATTCAGGTCAGAGTTTTCTCTTCACCCTCTGTATGCGGACCACTTTATTATATTAACGCTGGTAAAGCTGCGTAAATATTCACCACAATTTATTTAAGAAATGTAAATGAGGGGAATTGATTTCTTTATGATGTTAATGGAAATTAATTTTAATTAAATTATCTACCATCTTTTATAAGAAAAGTAAACTTTTATAAAAAAAAACATTATTTAAAATTTATAATTAACGAAGTTTCAGGGCTCTAAAATATTTTTGGCTCAACTTTTTCAAACTCTCATATTTTCTTCATTAAGGATTTTAAACAGGCTCGATCCCGTAGGACATATAATTCAAAAGAGCATACTTTTACTTTATTATTGTCCTTTTTTTTCACCCTTTCCTTATATTCCATCGAATTTAAATAAAGTAGATAAAAAATAATATTTTAAGTTAATATTATAAAAAACAATGAAATTTACGATAATAGATATCCATAAGCTTTGTACTTAAATATAACATTCAATGAAGCTTTTGTCGAACTAGTCTTTTAAATTCTTAATATATTTCATCTGTATTGACATTTTATCAAATATACCAAAACTATACATATATTTACATGCATACGTACGCACACTCATTTATACCTAATTATTTTGATGACCGTACTTATTTGCCTTCAAATCTTCATAAATGTATACTAATAAGAAATATTATTGCACTTAATAAATACTTTCATCGGTTACAAATTTCGCAAAAACTTTGCATTAAAAACAAATTCTCGATGTTTTATAAGTTATATTTTATACAATATTACGTGAATATTTTGTATAAATTTTTTTCTTTTATCAACTTTCAAATTATTCTGATACATTTATGATTAATAATTTGTAAGAATAATGAAGTTTATTTTCCACGTTATTTCGAATGCGAAGAATGATTTAGAAATCTTCCTTTATATAATTATGAGTTGCAAATTCTTGTCTATTTATTCTTATCTATAGATTTTATTCACCGATGAGAGGCATGCGAATTGGTATGGCCTAAAAAGTAAAGACACTATTCATTTTATCTGATAACATACCTTTATTGGATATCTAAATAATCTGCCTTTTCGTGAACACAGGCACAGAAAAAAGAAAAAAGTCCCATTTTGCGACGCTACCACAAGATCGTATATCATTCAAGCCAGCCTTACGGAAATCGCGTGGCGTGCAGCCGTGCGCGAAGCTCTCTATTTCTATTCTTAGATTACGCCTCGTTAAAAGTAAAAACAATCTTGTGGCATATGCACCCATCAAGATACTATACTACGCGTGGATAATAAGGAAATAAGAAAAATGCCTTATTTTTTCCATTAAACTCAGACTATTTTGCTGTATTTCATATATATTCTATAGGTAAATTGAGAATGATATAGACACAAATATGCAATCTATTACTAACTATATTCCATAAGTTTTTGTTATTAATTTGTTCAAATGAGACTGTTTTCTATAAATATAGATACAAATATAATTTTATATAAAAATCTGCAATTGATAACACGATGGTAATTTTAATTCGCCTATAAATTTAATTTTAAATCGGTTAAATACTATTTATATTGGATTAAAATACTCTATCAATTAAAATATTCTATTAAAATGAAATTATTTTTTTTTTACAACTAAGTCTACATTTTAGGAAGGGAAATTTGAATTAAACAAACAAGCCACTGGAGGAATGTCAGATGATGCTGGACCAAGTGGTCGAAGGTTAGTATATAATAAATAAAATTTTAAAATATTTTTAAACGATTAGCAAATATAATAAATGTATAACTTTAGAAACATAAATCACATAATAAAACATATATTTATATATTAAACCATATAGAGAACAATTATTATGTAATTTATTATAATTGATTTAATAATCGCAAATTAATTTAAAACTTCATTTTCTTAATGCTTTTATTATACTTTATATATTTTTATATTGAATATTTATGTCAAATGTTATGATTCTGGTAGTGTTCGATGCGAGATTATAAAATTATGTGTAAAAATAGACTCAATACTTTAATACTCAGACATTAATACTCACTAACTTTGTACAGAAATAAAATATTTATATTATACTATAGTAATAATTTAAATGTACATGTAAATATAAAATTCAACATAATTAAATTATATTCAATTCGCTTTAATGTGAAAATTGGTAAGCTTTGACTTTCAGAATGAGTGAAAATGTACATTTTCAAATTAATTATAAATGAATGCAGTTTTTCTTAGTAAATTCTTTCTTAGTAATATATTTAAAATACATAGTCTTATATAATACATATAAATATACTATAAATATTTTATGCATCTTGTCAGTCTAAACGCTTTTATGAAGAAAATAAACTCTAAATTTACATAATTTAAAATTTAATAAATATCATATCAATTTAAAATAAATTTCCACATTTATTAATAATATTTATAAGAAAAACACTGAAATTTATATATTTCTATTGCAAGTATTTTTCTATTAGAAACTCAAAATACATTACTCACCGAATATGTTAATTTTATACTAAGCTTTAAATACGTATTTATAACATTATAACGTGTATTAAGAATACAAACTAAGCAATAATTTACAATAACGTACAAAAAAAATCCGGGTTTTATTAACATAATTTTGTTTATTTGTGCTATTTTTCATAACTTTCGCTGAAAGCAATTCCATATCGATTTAAATGAAAAGTTGATTAGCGTGAGTGATGATACTTCATGGAAGATTAAAATTTAGCATGAAAAAACCTCCTACGCTCTTGACATTTCAGGTCATCGATGAAGAAGTCGATGCGTAAGAGAGCACCGTCGCCGCCCATAAATACCGGAATATTACGCGAGGTAAGCGAAGAACCCGAAGAAAAGCTCAAGCCTGAAGCTCCCGAGCCGTTGAAGAACAAGTATTCATCCGGCGAAAGCTCCGAGGATGAAGAGGATACTCGAGATATGGAGGGAAATGTTTACACAAAGAATGGTGTTGAGGTAAGACAAGGCCTTTGCTTCATCCTTCTTTTTCCTTCTCTACCTTCCTTTTATCGTTTCCGTACTTTCTCTGCATGAATAATACAGACTTTACAATGTAGATGCAAATAAATAAGGCGTTAAACACTAGTTTACATTGCTAATGAACTATAAATTTGTATTTTGCACGTACTGTTAGACAATATTTAGCTAGTAGGTAATATAGCATTACTTAGTAGTTGCTTTATATAAATTTTAAATAAGTTATTTATTTGGAGGCTCATTTTTGTCATAAAATTAACTCATGTCATTAACAAGGTCCAATTAAGAAAAAATTGAAGACATTAAATAATTATGTATTTGATAAACTTTTCATTTATTAATTCTACACATTTACAATCTTGACTTCAGAAAAAGGTTTGGTACAATTTATTAAAAACTATATATTTACAAAACCCCATATTAAAAAATAAAATTGTCAAATTTAATGGAAGGTATAGATTTCGATGATATATGTTAATTATAATGGAATAAAGTTCATCTTTTTAACAATATTTCTTAAAACTATTTTAATTATGTTAAGTTATTTTACAAAGTTATCTCGAAAAGTTTATTCATAAATAAATTCAAGAATTGTTTTGTAAAACGAAAAATATTAAAAAAATTTTTATTAAATGAATGTATCGTTGCATTAGTAAATATACTACTTTAAAGTAAGATTCATTAATGCAATATAACAACTAATCTGCACCAAACCCGGTAAGCACAAACAATATATACTAAACTTGCAAGCACAAATAATACGTACTAAACTTTCAATTTCCATATTCAGTATATACACATTGAAATACGTATAATATTTCTACTTAATATAGATAAATGAATAATATAGATATATTAATTATTCATAAACAAAGAAATCGTTAAATTAAACTTATTACATATTGTAAAGAATTCTAATTATATTTTAGCTTACGATATTATGAATACTAAATCAATCAATTTTTGGCGGATACTTTAATACACCACTATAGGCTTCATAAAACTGACTTAATAACTGTAAAGAAGAGAATATATAATCATATTAAAGTTATTATATCGTTTATACAAATCTTCCTTAGTTAATATTTTTATTTTTCTTTAAAAAAAAGTTCAACACATTAAATATTACTTTTGAAATTATTAAAAAATTTAATATTAAATATATTAATTTATGTTTATTTTAGTTTAAATAATAAAATATGGTACATTTTTCTATATTGTAAAGCCATGTCATACTGAATATTAAATTCTAAAATATATATTTTCGAATTTCAAGTTTCACATAGTTGAACGGATAAAATAACATTCTAATTATATAATAATTGCAATATTATTCTCTGATGCTTTATTTATCTATATATATTAATTCTACATTACATATCAATTTTAATATAGATTAACTTATGAAGCTAATTGTTTTTATAAAATTAAAAATCTCATTTAAACTTAATATTATTAATAAATATTTTTATAGACTCTTATTCTATAATCGCGACTGAATTCATGGGTCCGGATATAATAAATGAATATGTGTGGAATCGTATTTTCCTTCTCGTCTTGCATTTCAATTGCCTTACAATCGATTGATACGATTATTGCACAAATTTTTCGATGAAAATATATTCTTATCACATTTAATATTAAATAGTTGTCGAAGACACTAAACGATTGGTATTATTCTTGTTAATAAGTATAATATTATTTACAAATTTTTCAAATTTATTAAATATTTAGATAATATAACATTTAAATTAGATTCGATGCTTTATGTATTTACAAACATTTGATACTTCAATAATCATTAAAGTATATTTACTATATTTTATATAAAAATGTATCTTCGCTTACTTTTCCAAGCCAAAAACATATATTTATGTTCCGATTGTAGGACTTCACTATACTTGGAAAATGCATGTTTCGCTTTTTGAGTGACAAGCAGTTTCCTCGTTCTGTCTCGCTTTTCTAAGCGGAAAGAAGTGAAACATATTATAAAGTTAAAAGCCACTGGAGCTTGACTATTTTAAATTTCCTTTTTTTCAAAGGAAACTTAATGTTACATCTTCTTAGTTTATTATAATACTACCGAGAGCTAATTAAAAACATTCTTTAAAAAATTTTTATTTTTCTCCTATCTTCTTCATTTAATAAAACTGTTTAAACGTTTCAAAAAATTATTGCTTTAGTTAATTAATTCTTTTATTATAGATTAAATATACTTTTATTAAAACTACTATAAAATTTTACAATTTGAAATTTTTACAGCATAATAAACTGAATATATTAACATAATATACTTTAAACATTTCAAAACTTTTTAATACTATTAATATTTAATACTCGACACTCAGTAGTTTAAAATTTAATATTAATTAAAGATATGGTTTGATAGTTATTTATTATAATTTTTGTATATAATTTTCATTATTTAATAGATATTGTAATAAGTTTTATTCGTAACAGCTAATTATTTTATATATATGTACATGTTTTAACTCGTTAAATCAATCTAAATTTCATATATTTAATGTAATAATAATATTCAAATATTTAAATAGCTATTTTAAATATTTAAGAAGCTGTGAATTCTTTAAAGAAAATTAATATATTTTTAATATTCAAAACAATTGATTAATATAATTTGAATTATTAACGTAATTATAAACGTAATTTTTAATTGCTCGTTGAAATTTTGATTTGAACTACTCATTTTATGTGTTATTGTTTAATTTATAATATTATCTTAATACTTATTAGTAGTTAATCCTTTCTTATAAATTAATGCTATTCTGAAACAACAGAATAATGCCTATACTAATATTTCTGGAACTCAATACTAATTGTAGCATCCATTATCGTAGGCGTTTCGTTTAGATATTTTAACAAAGTTTTTGCAAGGATTCAATGTAGTTTTAAATATATTAATTACATTTAATTAAACAAAAAATATTAGCCAAATAATTAAAAATTTAATTTATTTATAGTTGTAGAATTTATAATATTATAAAGAAACATAATATTATAAGTATGAGCTATATCAGATACATTGACTTCTATTATCATTTGTGAAATAATTCAAGTACTTTTATTTTTTTATTTAGTAAATTTATATTATTATATTATATGATAAAAAAAATTTCTTAGTATCACTTTCAAAGATTCAAAAGCATACTAAAGTTTCAAATTATGTCAATGAGAATATTAATCTAAGTTATTTCATATAGTTATGTACATTTTGTCTAATTAAATTACATATATAATTAGTTTATTTAAATTCATAATGAATATAATAAATATTTTAGATTTCGAGAAAAAGTGCGGGTAACGTGAAACGATCGAAAGAAGAAATTGCTGCTGATCCTGAAGAAGAGGATGAATTCGGCTATACAACCCGTAAACATACGTTTCCTATGTTTAACTATAATTGTATATAATCTATCTATTAACGCATATATTTTTTTTATAGATAAAGTAAAGAAAAAGTATGGAAATTTGAAAAAACCAGTATTTTTGGTAAAATTAGAAAAAGATCGTCGCGGCTTAGGTATATCATTAGCTGGCCATAAGGATAGAAATAAAATGGCTGTTTTTATATGTGGTCTTAATCCAAGTGGAGTTGCTTTTAAAAATGGAGAGATTCAAGTTGGAGATGAATTATTAGAGGTATGTTGAATGCCAATCAATCCAAATCTATTTTCTATTTTTAATAATAATTTCTTATTTAGGTAATACTTCATGAATAAATAAAATAAATACTGTTTAGTTACTTCATTGAATATTAAATAAGCTTACTTTATGGATGTATTTCAGGTAAATGGAACTGTATTTCAAGGAAGGTGTCACCTGAATGCTTCTTCAATGATTAAAGGAATGGCTGCCACTACATTCAAACTCGTCGTCGTTCGGTAAATTTCATCACGATCACACACTATTTCTTAAAAAGAATGAAAAAAGACAAATATGCCGAACACAACATTACTGTATCGAGGTTTTTTAGTTTTACACAATGGCTGTGCGTTTCAACATCACTATGAACAAAGTAAAGGTTTTCGGGTTCTTCAATTTTCAAATGTATGATATACCAAGTCGACCTTGGCCTTGCGTCATATAACAAAACACAAGAGCAATGAATGCGCTTTCTCGCATTTGTCAACAATAATACATATATACGTTCATTTAGCGTGAAATACGTTATGAGAATACTTAACGTTGGCTATAACTATGTACAACTCGTATCGTATTGTTCGTTCGATTATCACAAAATTTACCTCTTGCAGTAATACCAAACGGCATCGTAATAAGTTAAGGAAGTTTTTTCTAGCAACTTTTTAAAAAAATTATATGGGTAGAACATGCTTTAAATAGTATTTATTAACTTTATTATTTCCTGTCTGCGGCAACTTGTGTTTCTCTTATTGATATATAATTTATAACGTAATAAAGGAAATATAAATGAGGCTTTTATATAAATTAATTTATATTAGAGAAATGCATAAGTAGCTCATTGTACGTATTCTATAAAATTTATTCTAATATTTATTAAATTAGCATTGATTAACAAGTCTATAAATTAAATATTCAGTAATATTAATATAAATTACGTATAAAATGCAAAGAATTTATTTCTATTAAACAAATTTTATATATTATTTTTATTAATGTTATACTAACATTCAAATAAATTTGATTTGTTTAATTGTTTTATTACACTGCAAAAAACTACATTTTTGTAGATAATTTTATATTTTCTAACAAAAAATTAAAAATATTATCAAATAAATATTAGGAGACCATCAGGTATAGAGAATTGCGCCGTTAAGCAAGTTTTGCAATTTCCCACAGCATTGGCCGGTGAAGTGAGTAAATTTATATTATTTTGCTTTGATTAAATAAACACTTTTAATATTTAAAATATATTGATATTATTTATGCAGGACTACAGTCAATTTAAGGGTGTTAGAACACTTCCGATAAAAAAGGTAATATACATTATCTATATTTGGAAGTTATTTATTAATACTATTTTTAAAAATATAAACAAACAGAACCACCCATTACATTATTCTATTTATATTATATAGGGAACATATGGCTTAGGAATAATGATAATAGAAGGAAAGCACGCAGAAGTTGGTCAAGGAATCTTTGTTTCTGATATTCAAGTAGGAAGTGCCGCAGAACAAGTAAGAATAATTTATATACGGTAATTCTTATTAACCAAGCATTAAATGATTTTTATCAATCATTAATTTTTATGTAATAAATATATTGCTCAAGATATAATTCTTTATTAAAATTTAAGATATTTTATAGATTAACTTTTTTTTGATAAAATATTTTCATGTCCTTTACTTGTCTGTTATTATTCTGAATTATTTGAATGCTTCAAATATATTGGTTTATAAATATAACTTACAGAATGGAATTATGCTTATCACACAATTTATAACGTTTTCCATTATTTCCAATGTCTTTGCTTTTCACGATCGGTGAATTTGTTATAAACAAAAAAAATATATAGTTTTTTTTTTATTTTAGGAATGTATTTATATTTTGGAATTAATAAAATAATTTACTTTTCAGGCTGGCTTAAATGTAGGAGACATGATTTTATCAGTAAATTCGGATACAGTAATGGGAGCCACTTATGAAGAAGTAATTGATAATAAATTAAAAATTTACTTTGTACTATATTTATGCCAAACGATACAATTCATCTATATAGAAATTCATAAACCTATAAATATAATTTTTAAATGAGGACACTGTATTTATTAATATTTTTTTAAAAACGAATGATAAAAATTCATGATTTAATTCAGGCTTGGATATAGTATTTCATATTTTATTATTATTATTATTATTATTATTATTATTATTACTATTATTATTATTATTATTATTATTATTATTATTATTATTATTATTATTATTATGATTATTATTATACGTTGTTATTATTGTATCTTCTGTACTACAGGCAACTTCTCTACTTAAAAAAAGCGAGGGTGTTGTCACTTTGACAGTATGTAATCCTAATCAGAGTAAAGTGGCTGAGGAAGAAGAGCGAAAAGCTAGAGGAGAACCTGTAGAACTTTCCAAAGGTAATGAATTATGTATGTCTATCTATTGCTGAAGTATTTTTAAAAATTATTGTTATTATAAAAAGTGAAAAATTTTACATAATATTTTACATATACGTAACAAATTATCATACTGTTTAGAAGTAGGAAAGGAACCAGAAAAACCAAAAGAGCCTGAAGCGCCTGCCGATCCTAAAGATTGTAAAATAAATAATAATAAAGATACAACTATTGAATTTGCAAAGGATAAAGATAAGCCCATTGGTTTTACGGTCGTTGGAGGGAATGATACACCTCTTGTAAGTTTACTGAATTATGTTATGTAATATATACTATCTAATATCATTTACAATTGAATATTTTTTCCAATTATTTTTTAATTGAATTTAAATTTAAAAAATAGATTGTTTCATATGGATAATTAAATAACATTCAAATTTTTTTAGAACAAGACAAGAATATCAGTTGTTTAATTATAGATTATGTATGTTTAATAAAATATAAGATAATATTAATATCTCAAAACATGTTATATATATTTTAATATTTTAATAAATGTTTATATATTACAAATTATGTTTCACTATACAGATAATCAAATTTAAATAAAACTTATGATTTAAAAATGTTTTTGCCTTTACATTAAATAAAAATGTAACTCTAAATCATTTTACAAAACAATTACAAAAAACATTAACGGGGAAATAATTATATTCGTATTTAAAAGATTTACTATTGTAAATATAAATTATTACATTGGATATGCTTTTTACTTTATAGAATGGGGTGTTCGTTCTGGATGTATTTCCAGATGGAGCAGCAGGCAAAGACGGTCGACTTCAACCTGGTGATCGTATTGTTGATATTAATAAAGAAAGTTTTAAATCGATGGAACAAGACAAGGCATATCAAACTGTTTTAAGAATTATTCAAGGACCCGTAAGTACTTATTTACGAAACTAATTTACCTGCTATTCAATTGCATTAAGATGAAATATTTTTCTTCATTTTTTTTTTTTTTTTTTTTTAATTTCAAGATAATAATGATAGTACATCGTGATGAGAAAGCGGTCGAGGAGTTTGAAATAGAGCTTACGAAGAAGTCCGGAAAAGGATCTGGTCTTTGTTTGATTGGATATAAAAGTGGTAAAGGCGCTTATGTATCTGAAGTGGTAAGATATGAGTTTTCTTAAATTTTCTTGTTTATGTTTTCTTAAAATAAAGTGTGTTCTACATAATATTTCCAATAAAGTAACAAAATTATAGTTTCTTTTCATTTTAGTAACTTTCACATGAAAGCTAAATATAATGCATATAATAATGTCAGGTTTTAAATACAGTGAACAAATAACGGTATTAGAGTAGCAATAAACATTTTAACAAAATTCCAATCAATCTTATTATACATTTCGAATTATTTTAGATTTTAAACTAATGGTCTATTTTCAAATTAATAATTGTATATTACTTCAATATTTATTTGTGCGTGTGGTTAATTATATTTAGACTTAAAATATTCAGATTGTGTCGGTCAGTACTTATATGTAATACAGGTAAATTCATACTTACGCTGAATAACATCTCATTACGCGTCATCAATTTTGACTAGGTTTACGTTTACGTATGTGGTACATCTAATTCCGATGGTCATTATCATTTCGTCTATATTGTTTTTCGTCTATATTGTATCTTCTATCTTGATAAAAATTTTAAACATAATTATACCATTTAACAGTTAAATTAAAAATATCGTCATCGTTAGAATTATGCAGTTAAATGAATTTATGTCTTATTTGCTAATTTTATTATTTTATTCGAATTTGAAAAATTATGTGATTATTTGGCGTAAAACATGTTATTTTTTAATAAACAACTACTTAATTTTCAAACGAAAAATATAGAATCGAAAAGTAATCGTTTCCTAATATTACAGATCAAATATTTTCCAAGTTTTTTTAGTACATCGGAGTTGTAAAAGCTTTTCTAAATGTCTATTCTTTATATAATTAATCTAATATATCTATAGATTTATATACTAAAAGCAATTTTCACCTACATTATTAGCTAGATGGTAGGTATATAAAATTCCAAGAAGTTAAATTGAAGAATTTTAACGAAAGTTCATGAAACATTGAGAGACAATCGCAGTAATAAAGCTACGCATTAGTGACCTCGAGAGAGAACGTGATTGTGGCTAAAAAATGTATTTGCAGGTGGCTGGCGGCAGCGCTGCGGAAAGCGGAAAAATCGTGAAGGGCGACCGAATCGTGGCCGTCGGTGGGCAGGAGCTGCGCGAGGCCCCAGTCGAGGATATTGCACTTCACGTGAAAGTCTCCAATCCTGTGCAGCTCAAGCTGGCCAGATACAAGTCCAAGTGACAGGTGAGTTCGTGGCTGCGCGAGAGCGGTTTCCCACAGGTGGGGAATTTTCCCGCGGCATGCGAAGCGGGAGCCGCGACGTACCAAAAGAGCCGCCGTCATTTATGTAAGGAGCGCATAAATCGGGCCTCTGTCTATCGTAAATGGCACAATCGTTATGCGTGATTGGATCGGGGCTTTGGATTTTTTCACCGTTCCTTTCAGCATCACTCTATTATCTTGTTATTGACATGGAAACCGAATGTTGAGACGGTTTTCTTTTTATGGCGGTATTATGTGTTATAATAAACAATTGTGACGATAACTTAACGAGGAAGTTTACATATCTTGGGTTTTTGTGTTAAAAATAACTATGAGATTTCGACACTAAATATAACGTTATTCTGAAAATACACTTCAAGAAGCGCACTTTACCGAACTCCAAATGAAATAGTCAGAATACACAATATATTCGGTTCAAAAATGAACTTTCATTTAAATAATTGTCGAGTATCCTTACTTTTTCTATAAATGTAACTTCTATTACTTTAAGTGCTCTGCAATTTATGCTATGAAATCTTTATATACAAAAATGTATGAAAAAAAATTTAATACGTAGTTATTCATTTTATAAACATGTAGGGATATTTTTATAGGCTAATAACTGCATTGGTCTAATTATTCAATACACAGATTTATTTAAGAAAAATGATTTAATTACATTATTTTCGTATTAAGCGATGTAAAATTTTTAAATACAATATTGTTATTATTGAGCGAATTATCTATTAATCTAAAGATTTGAAATAATAGCTATATATAATTATTTAAATAATTTTAAATAGAATTAAGTTTCATAATGATATAATACAATTTATAAGATTCAGTCAGATTTTGAAAATATGATAATTAATCGCCGATTTACAATGTTTTCTATAATAACGTTATTAAACAATTTAAACTTTTTAAATTTGTCTTTTATTTAAATAACAAGAAAAATAAAAAGACCAATTTCATGTATTGAAAAATAGGTATTTGTATAACTGTTTTATAAAGTCTTATATAAAATGTTTACGTCATAATATATTATCATGAATTATAACAATCACTGGTTTGATTGAGCCTCGCTACCTTTTCGTAATATACATAAGACAATAGAAAATTTTGAACATTATATTAATAAAACATTATATTTAATTAATATATAATAAATTATATTCTTCAGGATTTATTAATAAATTTCATTAGGATTTGTTAGAGTTATATATTTATAAATGTCCTGTATGTTATAGTAATTATTATATTATATATATTGTAATATATATTATATAACTTTTAAAAATTAAATTTTTCAAACGAATATTAGTTTCAATTCAATTGCATTACTCCTGAAAATAAATTTTAGAAGTAACTTACTCATACAAAGTTATTAATTTGAAATACAAGTATAAGATTATTTATATAAAATTAATTTACTCAAAATAATTTTCATGGAGTTTTTAATAGATTAGAAATGTTTGTTGTATTTTTCAATTTGCTTTTAAGTAAATAGTTTCACTGTAAATAACTTTTGATGATTTCAAAGAACATAAATATATTATCCCTACATATTCCAAAAATAAAGAAGAAAAATTTTATTCAATTAACTTAGCCGATTATGGATTTTGAAAATTCTATACATAAGTTACGCAGTCACCTATAAAAATTTATCTGTATCGTTTATCTTATGAATTATAAATCATTAAAGTTTTTTAATAATCTTTACCAAAAATTGGGACAAAAATTTAAAACTTATGTTCGAATTCTCTGTATCTCTGTCAAATGTCAATAATCCATGCATCATTAATAAATGAAAAATGAATTACTTAATTAAATTTTTTTCATTCAATATTATGATATTTTCACAATTAACGATAATTTAAAATTATTATAACTTTTAAAATAACCGAAATACTCAAAAAATAGAACAATTATAATAAAAAAACAAGGTAATTATTTAAAATATAAATGAAAAAGAAAATACAAAAATATTAAAAGATTTTCATATCACTAATAACAATTAAAAACATATAATATTATTATTATTAGAAATAAATGTATAAAATTTATTTTCATTTAAGATTCCGATATATCTAATAATCTACTACATATTAATATTCTTGTTTTAAAAATAAAGTAAAACAATTACGGAACTAATTCAATACTTGAAACTCACAATGTATTAATTTCCAAACTTGCATAGTACCGACACTAATGTAAGATTTTTAAAAAGTCTGTTTTTTTCAACTGGAACCGGCATTGCCATTACTTTTTAACATATCTGAATCATTGCAGTGATTTTGTATGTACGTGCAACGGTGAAACTTCACCTACCATCACAAACGTAAGCGCATTCTTAATCCACCTGCACTCCCATTGTTAGCGCTAATCGTCGCCCTGCGCCCCGCTTTCTAACGAGGATTCGACTAATTATGAATTTGCATAAAGCCCCTGTGCACCCGAGTAAACTACTATTCCCTAGATCGCAAACAAGCCTCCTTACTCCTTACATTACACGAGCACTTATGCAAATAAAATTACAAACATTTAAAAAATTCTCTTTTGAAACGGATTTTTATATTTAAATACTATTTCTTCTATATTTTTCTATATTTTATATATTTTTATAAATTTTTTATATATTTTTATATATTTTATATATATTTTATAGATTTTTATATTCAAATACATTCTTAATTTATCCATTTTTTTTTTTTTTTTTTTTTTTTTTTTTTAATATTTTTCTCTTTTATTTCAACTTTTATCTATATTACTATTTTTTATAATTTATTCTATTTATTATTTTTCCTTATTCTATATCTATACTAACTGACATCGTCTGACAAAAGGCTTCCATTCAACTCTAGAGATATACGTAGAATAGAAACATGTACGTGAATTCGGCAATTAAGATATTCCCCATAAAATTTGCTAGATAATCTAAAATCACAATAGTGAAGAATATTATAATAAATAGACTTATTTTATTTATTTATTACGATTTATTTTATTTATAAAAAAATCGATAGTCAGCTTAAAGTTTAGTAATCAATTATTTAAGAGTGATTTTTATATAATAAGTATAATAATTTTAAATATTCTATTTCGTAAATAATAAAAAATATTTATTGATTTATTGAAATAATAACAATACGAATAATAGTAATGATGATGATGATTATATATCTATTGTAATATACACATTGCTTCGTGAATTTTTAATAAAATGCATATCTCGATAGAATAATCTGATCATTTATTAAATTGAACATGACTTTAAATAATTTTATAATAATTAAAAAACTTATTAATTGACTATTCATTAATTTATAGGGTTCTGCAGGCGGAACTCAAAGGCAGCATACCATTCCACGAATCATGGCATTAGCTGCATAACATTAATACCAGTCACTCTAGTGTAATACTGTATATAAATCTATTAAATAGAATATAATAATATTTTGAAATCAAATCAAAGTATGAAGGTAATGAAAAAAGTTGTAATAGTTATAACATATGTTTTGCAAAGTGCAGGATGAATTAACTATTTTTCCAGTACTTTCAACTATATAGAGTAAACAAGTTGAGTGAGAAAAACCAAAAAAGTGTCTCAGATATCTATAGGATTTTAGTCCTTGTTAAAAGCCGTTAAAGTTATTAAAGTTATTCATTATAAATGCAAATATAATTATTAACTAGAACCATTGTACATGTAGAAATATATTGAAAAAGAACGGTATATTAATAATTTGCCCATCTATGATTATGATTAATAAAACTGAATACTGCACATTCTATTTAATCGGAAATGACTGAATTCTGGTGGTCCGTAATGTAATATAGAAAATCTATAATGTAAACATCTTTACAATTTATAGTGATAAATTCATTTAAAAAATAATCTACTAATATAATACATTAAATAAATTTATTCACAGATGTTACACCTAAAACATTAAAATCAATAAAGTTTTTAATGCAACAATATGGCTTATAGTAAAATTATATAAATAAAAGTGATTATAGCTACTATAATTAAAAAAAAAATTAAATACGTGCACATATTCTAAAATATTTATAAATGTGCTATTTGTTATTTACTAGATTTATTTACATTGCAAAGAAAACAATTAAAATTAATGTAAATGATAAAATGGAAATTATACAATATCGTTCATAAAAGTTTAAAATTAATTTCGATTTTATTGAAACAATAAATTCAGAAGATTCAGAAACCATTAGAAAATATAATAATTATAATAAAAAATTGTCGAATATGTATATGAAATTACAAAGTTTATAAAAGTTAATCGAATAGTAGTTTAACGAAAGAACCTAAGAAAAAATCATCTTAGCTTTTGACTTTACATACATTTCATAAATATTTTAAATAATATATATAGTATAGTATACTTGTTACATTTTCTACAATAATTACAATGACGATTATAAAAGTGTATGTTAATTATATTTAAAAATTATTTATTACTAAATTAAAAGAAAAATTATACATAGTGAATAACGATAATTGAACACAATAGAAAATCCAATGAAAAGTTTGCATTTAAAATAGATATACATTCCACAAAAATACACTGAGAACTATTATGATTCTTACATATTGTAATAATACAGGGGACCAAATTCATTTATTATTTTAAATTGTATGATCCATTAAAATAATCATATTTCGTCATATATGATATTTGTAATTATTTCGTAATCATGGAAAATTGATAAACAAAATTTTCATTTAAAAAGAAAATACATTATCAAAAATTCTATAAGCTTATTCTCAGTGTAGAAAAAATTACATATGAATAAAATAAAAGGTAAAAATTCAATTTTACAATTAAAATCATTAAATGCACGATACTTTTCTATTAATTTTGACCTTATGGATTTCATGAAAATTTCCAATTTGATGTTAAAAATCATTTATAGATTGAACTGTTGATTTCTGAAAGAATATAAAGCAATCGATTGGACAGGATATAAAAGTATAGAAAGAGAAGTTGCAATAGTGAGCAAAGAACCGACTGCCTAGTTTTTAGTAGAGATAGATAGCTTTATGGTCAGTCAGAACTCCTCGACAACATGTACCGTAAATATTCTGTAATTACTTTATTGTTGGAAGATCGTGGCCACACATCCAAATAATATAGAAAGCATTGAAATCTAAAGTTATTAATCATGAAAAATTTACTGATATATTATCACGAGATTACTGACAATTTTACAACTGATTTTATCCATTATATTTTGATTAATATAATTTTTCTAATTAATCATTCATTTTAATTGACAATAGATTTCGCATTTAAAATTTTTTAAAAATAAAATTATAGTAATTGTAAAGATTATATTTATCAAAGAATTTTATTTTAAGGATTTTTTTAATTGATAGATCACATGATGTAAATTGTAAAAGAATTCTTTGTAATTGATTTAAAATGTTTGTTTTAGGTACATAAATTTGTGAATATTGTACAATTGAATAAAAAAAAATAAGTAATAAAATTATCTTAAAGAAAGAAAGAATAAAATGACTATTATAAATCTTATATAAACATTGGTAATATGTATATATTGTAATTTCTTTCATCTGCACATGATGAGTATAGTAATTATAAAATAAAAGGCAATAATTAGTTGCCAAAGTAATCTTTACATAGACAAATTATTATATAAATTTCATATTGCTAAATTGAACATATAAAATTTTTAATTACTACATGTATGTAACGAATAATAATTGTAATTGATGATTGTAGATTTAACAAACCGTATGAATATTTATATTTCATGAATATTACTGAGCAAACATGAAAAAAAAAGAAAATCCTTTCGAAATCAATAAATATCACATGTAAAAATATTATATGCGTTTGCAAACATTTTCTAATTTGAGTCAGCGTGAGATGTTATTAGATTATATTGTAGATGTAAAATTAGCAAGCAAAACTGACATGCTGCATAATTAAGATACATATATAGATTTGAGAAATAGAACCACTGCATCGATATAAATTCATGCATCGTGCAAAGTATATCAAATTCACAAAAAGTAACCTTAGTTTACCAATAATAATGAAAAGAATTGTAATACAAATAATTTAAAATCATATACTACCACGTGATGAGGCTCCACTTGTAATAGAAATATTAGAATAGATTGAAATTCAATCCGAAGGCAAAATGTTCTTTTTTGCGATTAGCTACTATTTATTAATATAATAAAATCCTAGATTATTAAACATTAACTGTTACCGTATGTGCCGTTGACTATATTGAAGAAATAAATAACAAAATAGGCACGGAGGATTAACATCGATACGAGAAATTACAAATGATGACTCCAGCTGTACACATATTGAACATCTGAACTGCAAATTATAATGAAGAAAAAGAATAAGAAATGAGAAATTAAATAACAGCTTAATGTCTTTAATATGTATTTTAAATACCCTATATCGATTTTATCTTTTACAGTTTAAATGTATGCTTCTTGAATGTTTATTACAATAGCGAGATCGATGAAATCAAAGCTGAAATAAAAACTTAACACTTTCTCTATAATATATTTTTTTCGGTTTATACATATAGAATATAAGTCAACATAAGATTACTATCTTAATCACATTCAATTCAATTATATCAATTTTATGAACTTATAATTAATTTCGTCACATTTTCAAAAATACATTACTAAGAACACAATATAAATAAACACGCATTAACTGCAGTTGTTTTATTTTCTTTCTGTAATATCAAATTAGATCTTAAACCAAATGTATTTAAGATATACATATACATATTATTTTATATTATTTGTATGATATCTTCTGATGACCGTTCAATTAAAAATAACAATTTAAAGAATAGAAAAAGAATAAAATGTGTAAAATAAAATGTGGAAAGTGTAGAATTAAGTCAAAAGCTAACAACTGACTTCAGACTATACACGATCTTTCCTGTTTTATCCGAAAAGTACCCTCTTAAGTTCAATTTAATCACAATAATTATTCTCCAGTTTAAAATAGACATTTATTGAAATATTCGCGAGTTCAAATCGATAATAATCATGTGTACTGCTTTTACCACTTCACAAGTACACTTCAACATTATTCAATGGCGCATATGTTGTTGTCTGTCTTTTATCCATAATGAAGAGATACTTAATAAGAATTCATGATACTATTTGATACGTTCGTAGAATTCATAATATATAGGGCATTTTTTCAATTTAATTGAAGGACGTATAAAAATTCAGGTCAACCATCTTACGAGATAAAACGAGATAATATAAAGTTAATAATAAGATAAAATATATTTATGAATGTACTATGCATACATCTAATATTCAAGCATTATATAATTAGATTTGAAATTGATTATTTAGATATTTAGATTGATATTTACATAAATTTGTATTTTATAAACATTATTTATTTATATTGCCTTGAATATTTGTTGTCAACAGTAGTATATTGTGAATATTTGATTTGCAAGAACGTGAATACCCTATCAAGAATATAGCTTTTGTTCATTTGTATCACTATTTGAATGTATTTTATATTTCATTCGCGTTAAGTCATTCGTTGTATTTAAAAAAATAAGTATATTTAATTATCATTGGTGATACTCGTTTAGCAGTAAAATTTACAAATTATAACGTATTAAGTTATGCAAAAATTTATCCGAAAATCTAATTGCGAATAAGGTATCGTTGAATCAATATGACAAGTAAAAAGATTTTTGTAGATCATCGACACTTTGGCTTTGTGAAATCTAGTTAATAAAAAACAAAAACTTATATATCTGTAACACATTGTTTGCTTCCCTGCAATATATTATTAATCTTTACATAAAAATAATTGTTGCCCTTCTTAATTATAATGCATAAAGAATTTTCATTTAATCCTTAGAATAAGAATAAAATCTTATTATATATATAATTATGGATTTTCTTTTTTATAAATTCGATATTTTCGTACTTTTGTAAAATTATAATTGACTAAAGATTTTATTGAAAAATAGTGCTAATGTAATTAATACATTTTTCAATCAATGCTCAAGATAATTCTGCGTACAACCCAGATTTTATTCTTTGTCGTTCAGTAATGACTTTCTTATTATTGATTTATCTTTAGAGAAACTCAATGACCCGCTTCACAATTGCACTTAAAGAACATCGAATTATTATTTAACTATTGCAAAATTTACTTCAGAAATCTTACCGATATTATAGTCGAAAATTGTCAGTTTTTACTGACCAATTTTCTAGAAAGTCATAATAATACAAAATCTGATCTAACACTCTGATGAATTCATACGTCACATTGCATTATGATTGGTTTAAAAAATCATTTACCAATTCAAATAAAGCAATTCAAACAATATCCAGTTA